ATCACTTTGCGATCCAAAGGACCCGCGGTGCACCAGCGACCCCCCCCCGACCCCCATGACCACCCTCTATTCGCCGGTTTGGTGAATGGTTTGGACCCATGACCACCCAGTGACCTTCCGATGGCGTGGACCGCTGGCGATGGTCCACCAAACCCCTGTGATGCGGGTCGGAGTGTGCAGGAGCAGCTGCGGGTCGGGCTGAGCCCCGGTTTCGGTCCGCTTGGAACTTGACTTGGGAAAGCTTAGTTGGTTCCTGCTCATTCGATACCTTGAGGCATCTTGAGACCATATGGACCATAGAATACTATAGACATCTATAGACCATCTCTTCAGGACCGTTTTTTCCTGCCCACCCCTGACGGCCACCGACCTGCCACGCTCTCATCAGTGCAACGCACCACCCGGGGGTTGGAGGTCTCGGTCGCGTCCGGTCAAGTGGCGCTCAGGGCGGCGGCGCGGTGCCTTCAGCAGTCGTGCCGGTGGGGCGCCCAAGAAGCCCTGGACCTGGAAGAAGGTGTCCATCCGGAGTAGAGACCACCTACTATACCACGAGTCACAGAGCTCGGGGGTGTTTTTTTTAGTCCCGATCCAGTGAGTATGTGATGTTCTGACACCCAGTTGGGCACTTCCTTCCTTCCTTCATTCACCACCCCTGTGGAACTCCGGGGACCTGTTCACTCTTGCTTGATCGTTGTTTGATCTTGTTTGGGTCTTCACTCACTTAAAAACCGCCGTCTATGACTATATGACTACACTGGGCTCCAAGCGGTTTTTTCTTCTGCACCGGCAGACCTCCCGCTTGGACCCGATGTCTTGGACCTACCCGATGACCTTCGACCTCATGCCGTGCAAACTCTCCAAGTCGAGTGGTCCAAGAGGCACCTTCCAAGAGGTCCCAAAGGTCCCCAGAGGTGCTGAAGCCTCCGCACGGAGAATAGGCATCCGCCTCCATGTCCTTCCACGTTTGTTTTCCCATGGTGGTCAGCCATGGGGGGGAGATTGGGAGACTGGCCATCGAAACCAGCGGCCACGGTGGCCACGGTGGGAGAAAACCAAGAGGTTTCAGGAGGTTAGTATGAATTCTATGAAATGTTGTTGTTTCTTTCTTGACGTGAGGAAAAATAACGTACCAAGATCAAGGTAGATATAAATGCCAAGAGGCTTTCTTTTTGTGGGTGTCATGGGCTGTTTGATCCCCCAAACGCCCCGTGAGGAGCCAAAACGGAGGAAGCGCCCATAGAGCCAGAAGACGAGGAGCCCGGGCTATATGGGGTTGCTAAAGCGCCCGGGGTGGAGGGAGAAAGCGGATTGAAATCACCAGATGTTTTGTGAAATCACCAGATGTTTGTTGAGCATTAAGTGAGGTTTACATCTTGAGGGCTAGATTTTTCGCTACGTCAGGGCTCTTCAGCAGCTTGAAAGGTCAGAGTGCATGCTCCTGTCCTACAGTTTAGATCTAGACTAGAGGTAGCAGCTATAGTGGAAACCCAGAAACAAATGTAGAGCCTGGTGGGCTAGTGGGACTGACTCACCCAGCCCTCTCTCCTACAAGGCCCTCATGGCTGACCGTAACTCGTCTCGTCCAGGACTTGGGCGAGCTGCGAAGTGCAGAGGTTGGCGAAGCAGAAGAAGCAAGAGTGATATCAACTTGCATGTGTGGAAACAGCTGTGTTGTTGACAGATTCAAGGGACTTGAGAGACATCAAGTTGATCTAAGAGACATCAAGTGAGACATCAACATGTGGAGATTCTTCACATATTCGCTACACGGGGAGCGAACGGGTCCCGCACCGTTCGCTCCAGGCCTCAGCGCAGCGGGGGGATCTCAGGCCGTTTCGGGCGCAAACGAGTCCGCTGTGTCAGGGGAGGTGGACCGAGGTGGAACCGGTTTGACGGAAAGAGCGCCAGGTCGGTCGCTGTGTTGTTTTTTCTTAGGGCTTTGAGTCTAGACTCGGGATGAGAAATGAAGATGTTCATGTTTGAACCTGTGAGTAACTTGGACTTATGGTAGGGAGAACGGGAGAACAACAGTGCTCTGCTGCTGGCAGTGCCACCCGCGCCAGGCCACTGCTGCGGCAGCAGAAGTTCGCTTGGAACGCCCAGTCGTTGGTATTCGGAAGTTGCTGACTTGCTGAAGCCATGACCTTCACATGTTTGTGGTGACTGGTGTAAAACCTTGTCCTCACATCATACGTACTTCTGATCGAATGAGAAAGGAACGGGGTCCGCGTCATGTAAATTGAATCAATTACCAGCGCAACACATATATATGTCAGGTAGTGTCAGGTAGGTAGATCATCATCTAACAGATGTTGCATGATTTTGCTGCAGGCACTTTCCTTTGTTTGCACCATATCTAAGTGCCTCCTCACCCTGCCATAAAGTAAAGTATCAACCCAAACATGTCCAGAGATGTTGCCTTCAGGATTGTCCAGGTAGGTTGTTTCATGCCGAGTAGTTTGACAGAACACAAAAATGAACAGTCAAACTCATCCAACACTATTTGACCACTATCCACTCAACTCCCTCGTGTCCTTCGTTGTTTTTCCCCAAACTTGGCATTTCAGCTGAAAAAATCACACCAGGATACTCGTCACGTGAATCCAACCATGTTGGACAAATTTGACGAGTGCAAACTGGACTCTCATGGGGAGCAAAGTGCACATGTCATCACAGCCATCACATGATATCACATGTCAAGTTTCTTTCCTTGACTCCCCAACTGGGGACTTTGTTGGGGACCAAGACCGACTCCTCAAGGCCTGCGCGCGGAAAGACGCCACCCTCCAGCTGATGACCGGAGCAGTGCAGGTGCATCGATCCGTCGAAAGACCGGTCGATCCGTCGGCGTTGAGACGAATCGGAGGGTCCTGGTATAGAAACATCCCAGATACTCCATGGGACTGCCATAGGACTGCCGAGAAACGGCCAGGGGTAGTTGGCGAGGTCAATGTGAGCATACATGGCAGTCCCGTGGAGTGTTTGGGCACGATGAATCATCTGACAGGTGCGACAGAAGTAAGGAATAACCTGATGTATCTAATTATCTACAGGGTCTACCTGGAGTCTACCTGCAACGTTCCCGAAATTCCTACCAGTCGCACGAGGAGTCTGTCGTTTTTTGTGCAGACGTGTTCACACAATCTTGCTTATTGGGTCCACAGTTTTGTCGCCGGCGCCAATGCCAGAGGCGCCAAATTGGGACAGACAACAGCCTAAAGTTGTAGAGATGAAAACTGTTCATGACCAGCGGGCCTCTCCAGCCTCTCCGTGGACTTTTGGGCCTTTCCTCCGGCGCCCTAGACCGCACTGGCATCGCCAGGGTGATCCGGGCCTTCTGGCTTTGGAGGTGGGCGGACTCTTGGCGATGAGAGATGTGTGTTGCCACCCTGGCTTTGGAGGTGGTGTGGCGTCTTCGATGGTGTGGGGTGTTTTTGGTTGGACCGCCACCACCAAAACAGATTATATACACCTGACTACACCATATTAGCCAGCAAAAGACAGTTGTTCTAGAGTTCATGGGCTGAGGCTTTGATATCTTCATGATGTCTGAACTGAAATGGCCTACCTCCAAACAATCACGAAGTGGACTGGTTGGCCTCCTGGAAGGTGATTTTCCTCTACAAACAGGGGGTTGCTTCTAGGATTGTTTCTGAGAGGGTTGTACTTCTCACCCGCCCAGTTCGACAACCCGGATTCCACCCTCTTCGCTGAGCGAATCCACCGTTCCACTCCCGCCAGGGCCGCAATGATGAGCTTCCCCCACGGCTGACCAGGCGGGACTCGCAGCAACGTAGCCATTGAAGATCAGTGAAGATCCTTGAAGCCGTCTTGGATGTCGGAAATGGTGAAAGATGGTGGATTTTGGGTTTTGCAGTGGCTTGTGTCTTTTGAGCAGAGGAAAGCACACGCGCAAGACCAAAGTCCGATCCTTTCTCTGTGGTTTTCATAGGGCGGTGGCTCCAGGGCGCAATGTGCGCAAGAGGAGTTCGAACGGCAAAGGGCCAGGTGGCACTTGCTGGGGCACTCAGGTGTCGCAAAATTTTGTGGCCACTGATGACCCTGCAGGCGGCAGGAGAACATCCGAAGGTCATATCCAGGTGTTTTTTTTCCTGTGCTTTTTTGGGCCTCAAAAGGAACCGCTTATGAGCTTTTATATGCCAAATCCATTTCCCGACAAAGAGAGTTGGGACTAGCACACTGTGTGTGTGTGTGCGTGTTTCGTTCCATGTTTGTGTAGCATTGTGTAGCCTTCTTGGGACTAGCCTGCAGCTGAAAGATGTTTGAAGGCCTGGCAAAGCTATTTAGCAACACAAGTCCTGAACGTGTGTGTGTGTGTGCAACAAGTATCTAACCTTCGAGATTTTCTGGAAGTTGGGTGACAGCCACGTGCCAGCTTCTCTGAGGCCTCCAAGGGGCAAGCACGTGGGCTACATGCCGCAGGCGTTTCAAATCGAAGATTTCTCTCATCCGATGGCCTCTTTAAAAGATGTTAAAAGAAAGAAAACACAAACGGCAAAGGAGCTGAGAATCTCTTCCACGACTGGCGGTCTTTGGTTCGTGGTCCGTGTGCCGTTGGATGAATATAACTGCTCATTTGCCAGGCCCATGCTCTTGGCGCAGGTGCCAGGGGAGGAAAGGGAGGACCAGAGAGGAAGGAAGATGTCGAAACAATCAACAAGTAGGCTTGAGTGTTGTGGTAACTCGTTGTTTTCGGTGCTTGTCAAATTGCTTGCTTGCGTGCGAAGCGCTTGAAGCGGATGGTTTAGGAGTGGCACACGTGGGCCCGACACATGTTGACACGTGTTGACACTTGCAACTCGGCCAAAAGGAAGGACTGCTGCAAAATGATCCAAGGAGCACTGACTCGGTACTGACCGTTTCCTTCCTACAATGGTCGACCTTGCACATGACGCCCAAGTCTTCGACTTCAGTCGAAGTGCTCGCCAGTTGAGAACAACACCTGGGTGTTGAAAACAAAACGAATCAATAGGAATGTTAGGGGATGAACTGCTCGAAAGCAAAATAAGCAAAGATCACCTGTGAATGCTTGGACATATGCAACCTTGCCTGGGTCACTGTGAACATTCCTCAATCTCCTCTCAAAAGTGATGCTTTTGGGGCCCTGGCGTGTCTTAGACGACCACTTGGTACGCGTGCTCGCGCGTGTGCAGGTCAAGGAAACTTGGGAGCCGTAGAAGAAGGCGCCGCCCCGTCCGAAGGTCTGGACCTTGCTCGCCTCGGACCCGTGGTTGGTTGGAGTCGTTCGTCCGGTACGTGAGGCAACGTGGGGGTTGAAACAGCACATTGATATATAAATGATTATAAATGTATACCTGGACCTTCAAGGGGTGTCCAATGGAGGTCCCTTAGTAGTGTAGGGGTAGTTCATTGCACACCCCTTGGAGGGTCCTGGTATAATTGATGTATTTGAGCAAGTTCGAGACAGATGCTGAATGATGCCGAGCCTCCATCAAGATGCTGCGTGCTGCCGTTTGTAGCTAGGGTACCTCCAACACTCACCAAAAGTAATCATGAACCAAATGATCGCTTTTACAATGCCTGTAAAGTCTCATAAGACTCATCTGTACGATATGATATACGAGCACATAAGACCTAATGCTCACAGTTTCTTGCGATGAATCAAGACTAAAGACAAAGCCACTTTAGTTACCTTCCAGATAGCCCAGGTGGTGAGAATCCCTTTTCTTTCTTTTTCAGGATTCCATTTTCACGGTGTATGGCATCGTCTGCGCGGGTACAATATTTGGCCCATGTGGCATTCGATTGGCATCCATTTCCCACATGAATTACTCGCTTCGACGAGCAGCAGGTGGCTGTCCGGCATTTCTGGATATGATCATCCACAGCAACTTTGTTCAATATCCCACATACTATCCATATTTATCATTTCAACCCATTCCTCCATATTCCTCCCAGACGTCATACTATTCATTCATGATCATCTCAATGCACCAAACTGATGTCGAAGTCCAATTCGCTGTCTCCATCCTCGTGCGCCCATGTGCGCCATCCTCGGCCTCCACCTGCCATCACCGAGGTCCAGAGCCGCGTGCTGCGCGGAGTCGGGCGGCCGCTCCGGCCTCAGCGCAGGACGCGACAGCGCAGGTCGCGAACGCGAAGACGAGATGTTTTCGTTGGCTTTTCAGTTGAGCGGATCTTGCAGATCTTGCAGAGTTGACCGAGTTGCACCATTTAGAAAAACATCATTCACAATCGAAAGACAATGGATTGACAGATCGCAGTCACAGCAGTCGCAGCATGACCAGATCATCCGTTTGTCATCATGTGTCATCATGTGTTATGTCTGAAATCTGAAAGACACATGTGACACATGTGTTGGTCTTAAACCATTGGACATCGTTGGGCGACCAAGAAATACCCCTCAACCGCACGAACTCGGTGCTGCCCCCCACTGCTTCAACGATGCAGCCTGACCGGCCATTCTGTGGCACAGACGGTCTGGATGATTCCGAGGCATGCTTTAGGTGATAGGCTGGGTGCAACCATTTCCCCAAGACGTCCCCATGTTTAAGACTGTTACATGAAACGTCTGTGACAAAAGTGCAAGTGCTTGATATCAAAATTGGTTGGAGGATGTGAAAAAATGCATGTCTGGACTAACTAATCACTCCTTGGGAGGATCCTCAATTTGACGCAACAGCCCGTCATGAATCATGAGCACCCACCCAAAGCAGGATATAAGAAATTGAATTGTAAATACAAACTTGTCGCGACCATGGGCGACTCGAAGAAAGAATGCAGATCCAAATTGAGTCCTTTTCACCTAAAGTGGTTCGGTAGATGGGCCAGTCATCATGGAGTGTGGCCAGGGGTTCCGGAAAGTGCTTGAACTGGGATGTTCACCATGAAAACGGCAGGTCGAGCTTCTTCCAATTGTGAAACCTTCTTTCTGTATATATAGTATTATATAGTGGAAAAAACATCCAGCAGGGGCGCCTTTGGAACGGAAACACAAACACATTGAATACGGAGGGTCGTCTACTCCCGACATTGGTGCTGGTTGTGTTTGTTTACCCATAGTCTTTGTTCATCTACTTGGGGTCTTTGTTCATTAGCAGGAGGGACTTTTGTGGAACAGTCAAGTATTAATTTGTTTCCAACCCGCCCCTGCTCTCTTATGTACCGCTTTTACATCGCTTTTGCGGTCGCCCGCGGTCGCTGGGCGAGGAGGAGATGTCCTTCGGGTTGCCAAGCTTCGATGATCAAAATCAATTCTTTCCAGGCAAGTTTTGGTCGTGTGGTTTTGGATAGTCGTGGGGGCGAAGGCAAAGAGTTGGGCCCGGCTACAGGGCGAGTTTGCCCAGGGCAGCTACATGACTGCATGTGATGATGTTTGGCGCAAAAAGGTACGTGTTGTCTTCGGACGTGTAATATAGCATGTTAATGATCTATATAATCTATATACTCTATGTTCAGCTATATTCTACACCAAATCACCTTAGACCAGGGCCCACTGTTTGGGGTGTCCATTTTGGGCTCCAAAAACAGAAGTCGTGGCGTCACACCAATGTCGAATCCACGGTCCATGGCGTATAAAAAAAGCATTCAAACTGCCAGATTCACACGCCGTGAAGTGACTCTGACTCCCAGTGTCTCTATGACTCCCAGTGTATGCACCTGCCGTGTTGGACTAACTTAGTGGGAGTCCCGAAAACTGACACATGTGCCACACCGCTGGAGCGGTGATCGTGAGTGGTTCAGCGATGCGTTGGAGACATCAATGATCCCTGTGTGGTTCCTGGGAGAGAGCTGCATGATGTTGTAAAAGGGTGCTTCAAGAGTGGGTTTGAAAAGGAGACTTTCCATCTGTAGACACCTTGGACGGGCGGGGCACTTCCGAAAGAAAGAATTCCTTAGCATGGTTTCCATATGTTTCCATCTACTTTGCACATTCCACATTCTGAGTCTCAACAATGACATCCAGCCGTCCATCGACCGGTCCACCCAGTCCACCGACCAGTCCACAGAAACACCAAAACCAGTCCACCCAGGTGCATTCTTCTCATGAAAACCAGGATCTCGGACCCGGAAGGATTCTCCAGCGGGCACTCGCTCCGGGGATCCTTTGAGGCTTCGCCTCCTTTCGCTGAGACACGGCGGACTGCGCGACCTGTGCGGGGAGAGTCAAGCGAAGGAGTCATCCCCATTGAAGTCGAAGTGATCCGCGTTCAGGTGATGGACTTGACATGACTTGACCAACAAGTGAAACACATGACAATACCTGTAAATTTCAATGTACCTTTTGTTCCCCTTCACCTTACTTAGCTCTCCAGCCAAACCTGAAGCCGCAGCCAAGATTTGGCCGCAAGCAGATCTCCACCCACACGATGCGTTGCACTTCCCCCGCGGTTCTTCCACCTGAGGGTGTGGGGGAGATGCCCTGGTCACAGAGATCCTTCGGATCCAAGAAGATCAACTCAGAATGTTTGAGGATCCCAGAAGATCAACTGAGGATTTTGCTCTCAAACAACGATAAAACATCGAAAGACCATGATATCATCGCGTCCGAGTTTTGAGAATCCAATGGATCTGTTTCTTGGACAAACCAAGCCATGGATCCAGCAGCGTGGGGCTTCCTTTGTCAGAAGAGGAGGATTCCTTTGGAAAGGGGCTAGTTGCTTGGCCTTGGCCCATGTTTCCACTGGCAGATCCGAACTTCGATCAGCATAGATAAAATTCGAGCATGTGTGCTGTCGCACGAAAGGGCCTCTTCCCTATCCCTGTTGCTTCTGTGCGAAGCCATCTTTGTAGATAGGAGGCGCAGCGCCGTTGGTCTGTGCCAGAAAAGGGGGCGACAAATCTGGGGAGGAGTGGCAGCATAGAATCATCTAGAATCTAAGGTTCATGGTGGAACCTTTTGACTTGAAAGCAGCGAACCCGCTATCCAATCTCCTCCATTGGTCCCTTGCACAGTAGGTTGCTTGTTGAAAAGCGACCAAGATATTCAAAACTGCCGTTCCAGGCAGAGTGGGATCCTTCAACTCCCAGAATACAAAAAAGACCCACCCAACAACTCCCCTAAGACCTCGACGATTCCCTGTTCTATCTCGAGATGTCAAAGGCCTTTGATTCAACCAAGCTGCTTCCTTGGTCCTTCTAGAGGAAGACATCCTGTGCCAGACATGAAGAGTATCCAATTGGCTTATGGAGGTGGCAGGTGTTCTGTTGGTGACTTTGCTTAAGCTGCCTGGCTGACCCCTTCTCCCTCATCACCAGCTCCACGTGTAACTACCTGCAAACTCCCTCCGACTCATACTTCCTCCCAATGCCGACTATAATCAATGATTGATTGGTATGAATCCTATAACTAGGATATTGCCAGCAAGATATATTTGGTCGACCAACTCTTTGACATCCACACCGAACACCAAACCCGCCCATGTCAGCAGACCCATGATGTCGACCAACATCGCCTCCGCAGCTGTCGCAGCACAGGGCGAAAGCCCCTTCGCCTGCTGCCATGTTCGTGGTTGGAGCTTGCCTTGCCCTGGGGGCGTGGTCCACCTTTGCAGTGGCGGAGGAGGACCGCCGAAAAAGAATCAGTGCGTTGGATGACATTCAACTGCTGGACAGTTCAACAATAACTATGAGACGGATGGAATCCGAGCCACTTATTCACTAGCTCCCGGCAAAGCACACCTGTCGTTCCTTCCACTTATTCATCCGCTCCACGTCGTCGGGGTCCGGAACACCGTGGACGGTGTGGACAGCACGGTCGTTGGCCAATCAGTGGCCAACCTGCAACGTCTTGAGAACAAAGCACATGGAGACACGGGTCCCCAAACTGTTTGGGAATGAAAGACTCTAAGACGGCTGTTTGGGAATTATGTGTTTTGCTCCACCAAGGGAGCACCCAAACGAAGGGAACACGAACGCTTCGACAGTCATTGAGCTCCCTTGTCCTTCACAGTTCGGTCCGCCCTGTTCGTCCAACTCCGTCTCAGGACTGTGAAGCTCCCAGCAATATCCTCTTGCAAACGGCCCACCAGTCGCGACGTGATGGGGAGATGATGTACCACTGGCCAAATGGACGTTTCTCGGTCAAAGAAGAACAGGGGCTCAACGAACAGCCCGGACTCCGATGGGGCCGTGCAGACGGCGGACGTATCCGATGCAGGTTCCGATGCACTGATGCGGACGCCTTAGCCCATCAACGTTTGCCATGCAAGAAACGAACGACGCAGCCTCCCTCTGACACCATGGCTCTACCTGGCTGGTATTGCCTGATATTCCAAAAACAATCGAAGAGGTCATGGCCATTCATGGCCTGTTTCTTGGGGTGGAAACTACTCACGACCACAGGGATCATCTTCACCAAACGGGCAGGTGCTGAGATTTCAGGTTTAAGATGGTTTAAGATTCTCTAATATTAAGGAATCCCCAGCCAGCCACACATTGGAAATGAGCGATTTAGTTTTGTTTTCATTTTCCTTTCATTTGGGTATGGTTATTGATATGGTTGTTGCTAGCATGTTTTTATCATTTGGTTTTCAGGCCTTCTATTTTTTTCATTTCAGGCATGGTTCTAGCAAATGGCAACCAAAAATAAATGAAGACATAAACGATGCAGACTAAGGCAAATGATAAGAAAATGAAGAAACAAATGAAGACCCAAATGAAGGACAACATTAATATCAAAAACGAAGAAAAATGATGATTTCTCGAGGATTCTTCATCTTTTCATCATTTGTTTTCATTTCCTGGTTTCTTCCACCTTTTTTCGTGAATTTATTTATCCACGAAGAAAACATGATGATTCCTCGAGGATTCTTCATGTTTTCATAATTTTTTCATTTCCTGGTTTCTTCCACCTTTTTTCGTGAATTTCTTTATCCACGAAGAAAAAATGATGATTCCTCGAGGATTCTTCATTTTTTCATCATTTTTTTTCGCGAAGACATATTGACAGAAAACACCATGACCCAAAGGAAGATAAAATGAAGACAAAAATCACAATGAAGACATATTGGAAGAGAAAACCATGACCCAAAGGAAGATAAAATGAAGACAAAAATCACAATGAATACATATTGAAAGAAAAAAACATGACCCAAAGGAAGATAAAATGAAGACAAAAATCACAATGAAGACATATTGGAAGAGAAAACCATGACCCAAAGGAAGATAAAATGAAGACAAAAATCACAATGAATACATATTGAAAGAAAAAAACATGACCCAAAGGAAGATAAAATGAAGACAAAAATCACAATGAAGACATATTGAAAGAAAAAAACATGACCTAAACAAAGAGAAAATGAAAACAAAACTACTTTTGCCACCTTCAGTCTGTGGCTGTGGTACTCTCTTAACTCTAATATTCATGAGATGATCAATGCAAGTTTTCTGAGGCTGGCGAAGCCGGTTAGACTCAGACAACAACGATATGCTGGAGGATTGTGACAAAGTTCCCACAAGATAGAACAATTTTATTTGGTGCGGAAGATGATCTATTCTAAATCCATCTAAATCCTTGTCTAAGCACGTCTAGACAACACTATGTTGGCCCACCATGGGCCATAGCTAGCTTCCTCGACCCAATCGACCTAAGGCGGGCGCTTCCCCTACTTTGCAGTGTCGGAGCGCCGGGGGGGGAAAAGGGTCGGGAACCCCGTGACCGTTTCTGGATCGATGTGGAGACCATGTGGAGGTGACCGCTGAAGGATGCTTCGGCCAGGCTGAGGGAGTTCCCCAATTAACCCACCGCCATGGGGGATGTGTGAGCATGGAGTGAAAAGAATGGAGTGGGTCGTTGGGTCTGACTGTCATGACAGCTGATGACAGCTATATGGTAGTTCAATAGTTTGATACATGGGCAGGGTGACATTAGCCACATTAAATATCATGATCACAGACGACATGACACTGGTTTTTGGAGGATTGATGGTACAGCAAAGGCCAGTGAAGTGAGAATTTCAAAGAGGTTGCTGGTGGTGCCAGGTGACTGGGGAATGTGCAAAGGCTGCCGGTCATCGAGCAGGCTTCACACCAGCTGTTCCATGCTTTTCCCCTCACTATGACCAACTGGTTCAGCTAGGAGAAAAGAACAGCACATCGACCCGTTTGGAATATGCCCCTGGAATGTCCCACTTCGGCCCGGAGCGCCTCGCCTTAGCCTCTTCTTCGAGCGAAGCTCCTTAGCCTCTTCTTCGGTCTGGAGCGTCAGGAGCATATTGGCCCATTCGATCTGAACAATAGCTTATCTTGGCTCCTTGGGAGCATAGGACTGCTCGACTGCGGAGCATAGGGTCCTGAGTTGAGGACAGAAGCCACCGTTTTTGTTCGAGGACAGAACCTTGACCCAGAAACCACCATTTGGACGGGCTTTTGCCTAGCTTGAGCCCTGATCATTCAATCACGAATTGATCCGTAAATATGCCAGTCCCCTTCAATCGTGTTTGCCGATGCGAAACGCTCGATTCGGCCGCCTTTGCGAGGGGGAGAGGTGCGCGAAAGAGCTTCCCTCGATTTCTATATCCTATAGCCACTCTCTCCAAGGGGTTGAATGTTAATCCAGATACAACACCTGAGAATCCAGCAACAGGTCGTTTTCTTGCAAAGTTTCAGCAATTTGTGTGTCTATGTGTGTCTAATACATTCCAATACATTGAAATCGTTTTTGTGCTGCACTCGAGACAAACTCAACACGGACCTTGTTATGTCAAGATATGTCAAGTGTTTGCTCTGTAGTACTTGTTGTAGTATTGCACATTGAAAGCTGATGAAAAAACAGACCACTGGGGAACTCTGGGTCCCGACTCTGAGGAACTTCTTGGGTTGGAAATCGCTACAAGCGAAACCGCTATTCCTGCCTAGCAGGCGGAACACCCGGCGCCAGCGTTCTTGAGGTCGTGGCATCACCCAGAGGGGCGTTTCCATACACTCACCTGGGGCGTGAACATTGCGCCTGGGCGAGGGGCAGGGTGGAGCAGGGTGGAGCAGATGCTTGATCCTGTTTTCACAAACAGAATCGAACAGACTCCTGGTGGCACAGAACCCCCTCCTGGTTTGCGGAGTCCTTTTTCAGACTGGCTGGTTTTGGTTGCGTCGACCCAAAGTGTATGGATAATATAAGTATTAATAAGTAATTGTTGTGTTTTGTGGGGATAGATTGGGATAGATGATATCCATGACCCTATCACTACAGACCTCGTGAATGAGGACGTGGCTGCTTGCTTAGCTGAGGACCATGAGATGAATGTGTATTTATCAGCTGCCGATGGCTTCAGGAAGTTCGACATGGATGGCAAGCTCATGTGTTCTGGCTGAACCAGTCGCCGCAGGGCGTGTCCTTCAGCTGTCAGGTCGGACAGCAACAAGCATAGTGCCAGTATCTATATGACATGATTCTTTGAGTGAGCGTTTTACAGTACAGTACTGCCAGTTCAGTTATCTAATGTGCCAAAAGGGTGGTTTTTGAGTCCACGCTTGGAACATGACTCATAGAATCATGAAGTCGAACATCGAGCAGATGACCTGGCAGCCGCTTTGTCCAGCAAGTAGCTATAAGAGGTATAGTTCGTGGTAGGAAGGGCTGGGGGAATGGATGTACTTCAGACTTCCAAAAAGGATACTTGTCACCTACGTATCCTGTCGAGGCCGCACTCGTAGATTGTCTTTCTATAAAATTAATTGATTGGATTGAAGTGTTGAAACACCTTCTCCGACTCAGAACATGTTGCTGTCCTTCGCAAACATACAGTTTATTATCATTATGATGTTCACCTTCATTCTAGTAGTATAGTATATATTGTCAGTAAAAGGTTCGCACTATCACATTGTGTGGCGACCGTTTTTCCAACCATGATCATCACCATCCACGATTTGTGGTGATGGGTCCCGCCACGTCCCGCCCTAGGTGGAAGACCATTTCTGGAAATGTTTTGAGATCTCCCCGACCTTGCTCCACGTATCATGACAGTCTGACACGGCCAAACATCCCCACCCGAGAAGATAGGGAAGAAGGAGCCCCCGTTTGATCGCCCCAAGATACTGAAACGAAGCGAGGGAGATCGGCCCAATTTTTGATTCAGCACAACTGGATATTGGCAAACAAGTAAGCCGCAGGTTTTAGTCATGTGTTCAATTAACAGGTGACGTTGAGGGGTACCCTGTTTGGGAGTCAGGACCAACTGCTTCTCTTTGCATAGTGTCACCTTCGACTGCGTACAATCACTTTGATGTTACAATTACACTCCCGAAAACTAACATGGACCCTGAGAATGGGACCCGGTAGGGCTGTTTTCCTCAGTTTTCCTCTACAAACCAGTGGTTTTCAGGGTCCATGGGATCGTCTTCCACGGTTTTCAGGGTCCCTGGCACGAGAAGAACTGAGACCCCGTGATTGCCCTGGCAAACGATGTCATTGCCAACCCTTCACACAAACTGGCCGCCTGGCCCACATCAACCATGTGCTTCATTGTGCTTCTTCTCCGCCGATGTCGGACATCAACAAACATATCAGGACCCCCAGTCGGAGTTCACGGCCCGCAGCCACCCCTTAAGCATCCTCAACCTCTAAGACTCTAAGCCGATCTAAGGCGCTGTGAATCGTGAAACCCCCCAAACTGACTCTGGTGCGACGAAAGTAGGGAAGGAGGGGAGTTTCCGCCCCCAAGAGAGATTCCAAACTGGATCCAGCCAGCCTCAGCCACCCTACTTTCGTCGCACAAGTCAGGTTGAATGGAGGGACGGTGACCCTCATATTTGGGCCACAATTTCATGTGGGGCTTTGCCAAAGCGAGCTTCCAAACGCTGCACCAAGGTGGGAAAGAATCATTTTGCCGCGCACCACGATGAATACTGGGGCCATTTATCAGGCGCGTCTTCTAAGTTGTTGTCCTTTCTTTGGACATGAATGTTTCGACCTTCTTGTTTGAAGAATCTTATAGTCTGAGACTGTCCACTGCCAAAACGGCCGTGGCTGACTCGTGTTTTGAATTCTTATGTTGTTTGTTTGTTTGTTTCTTTTTCTGGGCCGCGGAGCTGCGAGTTTGAGAGATGGCACACCTAGTCAACTGCCCCCCTGAGAGCCAAGATTACATACATCATCATACGTCATATCGATCATCTTAAAATACAATCCTTCCATTCCCAACTCCGACACCAACGGTGGGGCTCTGGAAAAATTGATATGAATGCATCCCAAGATCCAAAGACACCCCAAAGACACCCGCGAATATCACTTGCTGCGCTGCGCAGGGCAAGTTTTTCGCAAGTGACACCGATGGTGGAGTTGAAGCGGTGGATATGAAGGATGGTTCAAGGCGCCGTGCGGACTTCACCCAGTTGGCGCGCACCGCGGTTCACGCGGTCGGTCGATAGGTGTGTATGTCATGTTTATAAAACATGGACCCCCGAACCAATGGGTCGACGGGTCTATTTTCCTTCTTCCAGGGGCTGTGTATGATATTCTAATACCTACACCCATATCGATTCTGATGCTTGTTGTCTTCGTGACCGGGCTCTTTAACTCGGTCGAGAAGAGTTTCGGTGGCTGAAATGGAGACGAGACGACGACCCGAGGTGGCAGGTGACTTGTTGGACATAATCGATGAGCCTCCAATATATAATATATTAATATATATACTACTGACTAGTAACTTAGGACTTGTCGGACATACACGCCAATTCCAAAAGCCTATGTCATCAGGATTGATCCAACATTGGCATTTCCTCTTAAGGCCTATGTCATCAGGCCACAACCATGATATTCATAGAAATATGTATGAGGTATTCAAGGCGCCCGCAAAAACACATAGTCGCACCTTATGTCACCACTGTGTCACCAGGGTGCCAGGCAGTGATATCTAGCATTATTTAGCTGTTTTTTTTTGTCGAGGAGGTGTCCACAGGTCCTATGACACCAGGTTTCCCAACCCAGACATTTTTTTTGCTCGATATGTCAGGGCACGTGACTTAGTCCTGCGGGTAGCCAGATTGGTATGTCACTTGCATCACGTTGGCCTAAGTCATTAGACAGTAGTATATATATATATACATATTTCATTATGTATATATATATATATTTATGTGTGTATAAACTATAAAATAGACCGTTGATCATATTGAACTTCCTTTGCATCTCCTTCCAACATCTGGAAGAAGTTTGGAAGGAAAGAGATCACAGAAAGATGAGCGTCAAGTTACCTGGTGGATGCAGAGGATGGTACACTCTGACTATCTCTGACTCACGAACGCACGGAAGTGGATGGTATAGTCCTGGAAGACGACTTCCCCGAGGGGGCAACTTCCATGATGATGCGAGTCCCGCAGTCTAATCCTTTTCCATCCTGGCATCTCAGGTCTCCCTGGTAGGGGTGAACTCCCCCATAAACCTCCCTGGAGTCTGTCCAACACGGAAGCATCACTTGGGGCCTCAGATGGATCCCTAGGCCGTTAGGCCCTATATATATATGTAGTTCCAAACTTTGTCCAACTTGGTTTCAGACCACGCCTGGTCAGATGTGATTCTCCCTAAGGGTCTATCCCATTACCAGTGTCCATCAATAAAACGATTTTGGATAGGTCTTTACCAAGCATCATCATCAACTCTTACTGGTGTAATGGGATATATAGCTAGCAGCTACACGCAAGACTCACCAAGTTGTGAACCAGGCACAGTGTTTCTCTTATCGACTGAAGTTTTTGCTGTTCAAGCTATGATGACATTGCCAAGCTGTAGTCTTATTTGCCGCTGAAGACTCTTCCCCACCAACTTTGCTCCTGGCCCGCTCTTCCTTACGACTTTTTTTCGCCACAAGGGGATGTAGAGCTGTGTCGCCGCAAAAAGCAAAGCAATCAGTGTGCTTCGTTTTCCAGTTCTTGTTTCATCATCATTCTTTTTCATCACCAATTCCGCCTGACTGATCCAACTTCATGCTGCTTGGCAGACTGACTTCGTCACTGATCTGGTGATCATCCGTCGCGGACACAAACCCAGTGCCGGCTCCGTTGGTCTTTTCCTCTCTGCATCACGCTTTTGAGTCCTGTGTCAAAGCATTGGTCCGTCTTCCCCTTTCCCTCGAGGTGAGACGAGATCACACTTTGATCAATCAGACCACTTCAGACCGCATCACTGAAAAAAGGGCAAGCAACAGTTAGACAGTATCTATACATTCAAATTCCCTATAACATTTTTCTGTGACACTCTTCCGTTGCACACGTATACAACACGCATGCAACATAAATCATGGTTCTGGATCGTTTTGAGCCCGAGACGACCTCAGTAGACCGAGCGAGCTGCCGAATCCGACGGTCAGGGTGTGGTATACCAAGCTCGCCTCAGCCATCTGTGAAGACAACGGTGTCCCGTTGATGCCGTGGGACGTGGGAAGGACCGGTAGAGGAGGAGACCGGAGGAGGACTGAGTGTTTCTGTGGGATGGGTTTCCAAGTGTTTCTGGCCGATGATCCCAAGACGCAACAGTCCAAAAATCACCCCGTTTCACCCGGGATTCACCTGGGTTCTTCACATGTTGTGCGTGTTCTTTGTTGCCTTTCCCGCATCACCTGATTTGAAACTTGGATGTATCCTGAAAACAACAAACACATCTATATATAGTGGTATACAACAAATGAACAATCCAACAGACCTGGGAGCGGATCTGCGCAGAGTCGGTGCCAGTCGGGAGTTCCATCAACTTTGTGGGGAAGGTGTAATGAGAGTTGCTTCTTCACTGGTCCAAATCATCAATTCACTTGGCTGAACCCACAGCCAGCAAGGACATGGTTACCGAGACGCGCCGGTCATGGGCCGTAGGGCACTGGTCGGCGACCGATCTACGATTCCGTCGAATGCTCCCCATGTCTGAATCAGCACCTGTTGAAACCGGCAGAAGACACACAGAATCCATGGGGTGTCTGCCGCGGGTGGTTCACCCGTGATGTCCAGTCCCGAAGAAGCCGGCTATGGTTTCCTGGGCTGTGTCCCAGGAAACCAGGCTGAGCCGTCGGTAAACAATTAATTACACAAGGTCTGCAACCAGGCCCCATCATCATCCACTGTTACAGGGAATGGGAAACACCCAAGGTATGGGTGCGGGCCACACTTTGGCCAAACACCCCCACACACACCCGTCCGATCAAGGGTGGGGCCCATCATCCACGGATTGGTTGGTCAGGCCACTGATTCTTTGGCCATGCAGGCCATATCCTGATGCTCTTTGGGTTCAGTCACTGACCAACCCTCGTCTTGAAGGCTTGACACGTCACTCTTGGAGGATGTCTCGCACCAAATGCTCGTTTTGGAAGGCGGTCTCAATGCTCGTGTCCCACGACAGTGTCCTGTGTGACGTGTCCCACAAGACTGTCCGCTTCAGCGGGCCTACAAGGGTTTGGACGTGACATGCCTTGCTGCCTTAAGGGCCTTAATGTTTTTGAATTCCTGTGCGATGAAGTGGGGTGTTCTTCCTTCCCTTCACGTGCGCTCTTGTTGTGCCCTTTGGGGATCTGAGGATTTAATATGGTTCACCAAGGCGTCACGTGGCAAGCATTAAGACACAACCCAAACCCCTGCGGTCGCCCCAGGCCGGGTTCGTCACAGCGGTGCGGGGGGAGGCCTTTGTAAGGCGAAGGGAGATGGGAGAAGGAGTCCCAGAATTGGTTGACCAGCCGACGTTTCTCAGCGAACACCGGGTTGACCGGGTTTGCGGGGGGGGAGTTCAGGGGCAGTTTCAGGAGCAAAGAGATGCTCGGAGAACACCAGATGGATGGGTTTCGTGGAGTGTTCTAAACTGTTGAGCATCCTTCCAAGTGCGGCACGTTTTGAGATGGAGGACCTCTCAACCCTTCAGACTATCCCACCGGATGGCTGGTCGTCGGTGGTCTGCACTCGTCGGCGTCGAGCCTCTCCTGAGGTCTTGTTCGCCGCTGCGGACTGCAGTCCGCCCTGCAACTATGACAAGACGTGCAACCAGCGGCTTGGCGGCGGACACGTCGCTGAGATGGTGGGGACATGACCTGCACGAAATCAGAGAGAGAGAGAGAGAGAGAGATTGAAGCAATATAATATGAATACCAGGACACCCCTTGTGGGGGATCCCTTGATCGCCCCTTTTAGAGGGTTATATAATGGGTGTCCATCAACGATGAAGTCCTGGTCGTGGTGGGGAGCGAGCGATCCGTTGCTTGGGCTGGCCACACCGGTCCGGTGCGTCCAGGCTTGTGAAGGCTTTGAACGCCACCACCGGAAAGGAGCGAATCCGAAGACATGGTGAAAACATGGTGAAAACTGAGATCAGAATGATTAGAGACCAGGCCCAGGGGGGGCCGTAAGTCTTTCCTCATCAACCAAACTCATGGACAAAACTCAGGAAACTCAGATTCATGCGCCAGCTCCCGGACCCCCAATTTTGGGGGGTGCGGGTCCATCTGACTTTGTTCTTGGGGTGCCCCACTCGTCAGTGTCTGAGGGTTTTTGATCTTTTGGATCGAACGAAAAAGGTCCGTCTTCTAGGATCCACTGCCACCCTACCTCAGGTTCGGTATGGGAGTGCCATGCCTCACCCTCGAGGGTCGGCAGATCCGATATCCATAGGGCATCGGATTCATATTCATCTGGTGCTTCCAGTGGTTCATAGGTCCATATTCACCACTTTTGAGAGGAGTTGTGGACCTACAAGCCGGACACGGCGGTGTGGAACTTCCTGGCGCTCTTCCCGGACATGGAGACCGTCGTGTTCCAGGCCACCGTGGACGATGGTGGACGGGATCGTTCTAACTGGAAACATCGGATCGAATCTGGTGTGTTTTCCCTTATACCCAACACTCCAGACTGCGGAAAAAACTTTACCTACATTGGCGGTGCGTTGATTTGGGGTCAATGTATGTAAATATGCCATACATGGAGTGTTTGGGATATGTTCCTTTGGTTGGGCTGGGTGCGGGGTATTGCATTAATATGCACAACAAAATGCATGTGTTTTTTTTTGCATCCTGCTGCAGTCATGGGTGCGGGCTATATGAATCATTCTCGACATGCTCCGGCCAAATGAGTTCACCTAAATCAAGCTGTTTGGAGGCTTTGCGTTTCGGCTGGTTTTTCTCGGGGAAAACAAAAAACCGTCGATCGCTTGGAGCCCCAATCGAAGTCTCCTGCATTGGCTCCGGTCGACGTGGAAGACCGACCCCCGGTGTTCCGACCTCCGAAAAAGGGACCAGGAAAGGGTCATCCCAAGTCTATTGGGCCAGGGAGACTCTCCCTATAGAAAAAGGCCAACCCAGTGACCAGCCGATATCAGGATCCTTTCGGGCATTTGCTAGACTTAGACGAGTTGTTTTTGACGTAGCAAGATGGATGATTCGACTCCTGATTCACCGTGCCACGCTGCCGGTCAACCACGGCTCGCTCTGTTCAGGACATGTCGGGCAAGGTGTATAAATTGACTCTCAACGGCGACGTCATTTGGAAGGCGTGCTCGACATTTGACCCCTGCAGCACCTCGCCGTTGCTCTCCAAGCTCCGCAAGCCGCTCATTGGTCTCGGAGCGGCTGGCCCAAGTGCCCCATCAAAGGGTGCCCCCCTGTCATCGCAGGAATGCCCTTTCTCATGAAGTGTTCAAGATCAACACTCTGAAGCACTATTCACAGCAGACGATTGTTGCACTAGATTGTAGCAGCTATAGTGGCATATGATCCCATAAACACTCTGAACCAACTTCCTAATTATGATTTTTTCCAACTCTCCAAAGATCAGTGATCAGTGAAGGTTTTCAGCGGTGCTTACAGCTTACACTTAGCAGATAGCAGTCATGGAACAAAATGCAAGGGAGAACTGAGGTTTATTCCAGCCATTCAGAATGGGCGTTTTCTCCGTGTCATCGGCCAGGTATGAAGTTCGATCATGTTTGCATGTAATAATCACCTTATGTCATACCATACAATACCCGTTTCATCCCTTTTCTCATTGTTGCATGTAAAAGATTGTATATATAAAAGCTTTGTTCAAGGATCTTTGCCCGCACAAACATGCTCCCAATTGGTCGCCCATGTGCTCCCGATCCATGTGCTCCCAACCGTGAACACTCGGAGCACCATCGGTGTTTCGCAGATCGACGCACATGGACCGAAGAGAGCCTTTTTTGGGGTTGGTTTCATTCGACTCCCGGTTCCCACCGTAACCCATGACGACACACCCCTGCAGGGTGCCTGCTATGGGGAAAACATGAACTCAGACTTGGAAGAAATAAGGATCAACTGACTGGCCCGCGACTGTGACCAAAACCAAATCCCTGCCCATGTTCACTGAGAGCCTCGCCATGTCCACTGAGTAGTCGGTCAATTCACGAGTGGGTGTTCTTTTTTGTGTGTCTTGTCCTTGGACCCTCCATGGCAGGGGTCGGACCCGACCTCTTCGCAGGGGTCCAAACCCTCCAAACCCTTTCCATTTGAGGGTCCGGAAACCTATGGGGTGTTGTATTTGTATACCAGGAGTCACAAGACGGAGTGGTTTTTAGTCCCTAAGTGAGTGGATAATGCATTCGTGGGTATGTGCTTTCTCTTCGATCGATTGCAGGCGGGTGGGCTGAATGGCACCTGGACCGACGGAGGTGCTGCCTTGGGGCCCAATGGCATGGTGCCTCTTGGCCCCACACAGGTCCAGTGACGTCCAGTGGAGTGGTCCAAGGCCGTGATCTGAACGGGTTTTGCCCTTCGATTTCTGGGGTCAGCGGCTGGGATCCTGTACCATACTACCAGGTTACTACCACTCCAGAGTCGTTGGTCTTTCCATGCGACATGGATCAATTGGGCAGACCCTAAAAGTTTTGGGTTGGGCTGCCAAAAGACCCCATTCCAAGACTAAACACATGGCCAGGATGCTCCGCTAAATCAGCGTCGACTCCATGCCACCCGCGCCACGATTCATGTATGGTGACCACCCCTGTACACCGGGTTCGGAACTTTGGGTCACAATATGCCCCAAGTAAGATGCAAACAACATCAGACAACCCTTCAAAACCACCGCGCCCTGCGGGGCGCACAGCGCCTTGCCCGAGGTATGCAGTGAACAACAACCATCCGCCCGAGGGCTTGTCCCCAGTGGGCCAGATGGATCCTCCCACAATGCCAGGCCGACCTGGTATTTGTTGGGGGAAGCCAATGGTGGACAGATTGAGGGAGGAGGAGCAGACATGAGGAGGAGCAGGAGCCCCTGAGTTGGAAGACCTGACAGGGGTGCTGGTGCTAGATTGGAGACTTTGAGTTTGGGTTAGAGACTTTGAGTTGGTGAAAGCGCTGCAGATCTTGGGCAGAGATAGGAGAAGCAAAGGTCTTGGGGTTGTGACCTGGGAAGGACAGGGTCATGGGAGTGGCAGCTGTCAAATCTTCAACAGAAAAGCACATTTGCAGATCTATATATGGCTGGATACTCGTGTGTGTGTTTGTGTGTGTGCCGTGAAAGATCAAGCTCACGAATCAATGACGAAGCTTGCACTCACGATTTGCACTTGCGCACTTGCCATGCTTCCATGCGGAAGCGCATGGCACTTGTACCTTTCAATGTGAGTGTTGCAAAACGTGTTACTTGTTTGGAGTACCTTTTTTCATGTTGTTTTCCCAACCTGGTCATTTGGGGGTTGCACCACATCATCGCTACTACTTGTCGGGTTTCTTCTCGGCGGTGATCGGATGGTCAGTCGTGACGCTAATGGTGCGGTCGGTGTCCCTCCAGGTCAGGTGACAGCCCTAGACGTGGTCACTGGCGACATCGTGTGGCAGGCGACCCGAGCCATTGGTGGTCGATGTTCTTCGGATTGATGGAGGAGTAGAAGTTAGGAAGGGTCGGATGTTTTTTGACTACTAAACATAAACGTGAGACAATTATATAACCGATTTATTTACTGGGACGCCCTCCAACAGGCAATCTTTGATCTGAACCATATATAGCTTCAATGGTGGGACTAACAAGCCGTTGACTACATCCAACCCATGATTTGATGGTGTAGTTCATATTTGTGTCCTGAAATCAGAGGCCCAAACCACAGCATTTGCCAGGACCACCCTAGACATTCCACATACCTTCTGTTGCCAGCTACTTGGACCCTGAAAACTCGTGTACCGGAACCAGAGTGTCCACAAAAAGCTTCAAAAGGAGCGCCGGCCAGTGCCGTTCTTCTCCATGTGGACGACCAGAACTCAACCGGAAGACCGACCGACCGACCGACCTCAAGGTGACCACGCCTCGGCCGCCCAACAACGCGCCGGCGGTGGGAAAGGTGCAGGGCTGGAGCCTTGGCTTGTTTGTTTCAGACGCTGAGGATGGGGGGTTCAGATGGATTTTTGAGGATGATCATGTGTCGACTCTTGCCTGAGGGTGTCCGAGGCCCGGATGGATTTTGGTGGCGGTTCTAGCAGGGCTGAGCGGCTGAACTGGTTCTTGAGCAGAACAAATGGGTTTTCTGGGTTGATTCCAGGTTGGCAAGTGCCACCTCAGCAGTTTTGCACCAAAAATCATTGATGAGAGAGGTGCAGGATGCACAAAGGGATATGCAATGTAGTGATGATGGGCGGAAGAAGCTTGACTTACAGTACATTTGTTTATGTGTGGTCCAAAATGGGCAACATCAATCACACAAAGCAAAACTGGTGTAGTTGTTGGCTGCTAATCATGATATAAAGTTAGGCCACAAGGAAAGCCTTTTTGGAACCCTAAACGACTGAGTTGAGAGCAGAAGCCTTCGAGGGGAGAGGTGTCCACCGGTCTGAAAACTCATGCGGATTCGGTGTTGGGGGCCCACGTGGGGGTTAAGATAGCGATAGCATAGCGGTGTTTAGCAGCAAGAGTGCCACGGCCTGTCTTGGACCCCACGGTCCTCATCCCACTTGGGGGCTCCAAACTGTGTCTCTACTCCCGACTGACGTGCAGGGAAGGATTGTCGCTGGTCGTGCCCCTGTGCCAACAAGTGATCAAAGGCGGGGAGAAACCTAAAGAGGAAGAAAGGATAAGAAAGGAAGGACGTTAGGGACACAAGAAGTTCAGAAGAATAGTGAACATGGATGAAAATGGTGACCTCCTGGCTACTACTCTACCGTGGCTAGTATACGAGATTTGTTTGCTTTTTTGCAGCCGCCGCGCGAGCGCGAACTCGTCACATCCGGAGCGTGTCTGGACACGGAGGCGCCCAGTGCGATGTGCACGTTTACAACGCCAAGACGGGCGCGTTGAGATGGGTCACTGGGCGGCAGATGGGGAAGGCTATGGCTCTCCGCACTGGAAGGCTATCGAGGGGCTCGTGTGCCAGGTGTGAGGTAGGTGCTCAACAGGTGTTTGAGTTTGGTTTAAACACTGGGGTTTAAAACTGGGGGCCGTGTGCTGCTGAATGACTTGACCACTGGTTACTATAGATGTCTAGACAGTTCCTGGTTCGATTCGACGCTGAGCACGGCTTGGATCACCTGGAGCTGGATCACTGGATCACCTGGACCAGTGATTCACGTCCAGACCCACGTGGAGCAAGGCAAAACGCTTGTCCCTGAGTGCAAACGGATGTACGTAGGGCCGTCTGGACGGGTCAAGCATAGGTCCACCTCTGCTCGTCTCTTCGGGGCCCGGCTCTAAGCCCGGCTCACTCAAGACCTGGCAATGGATTGGATGACGAATGGAGATCCCTCAAAAAGCTTTGGGGGTCAAAAGATGGGCGAAGCTGGCCCTACAAACACATCCAACATCCCGGACTCTCCAGTGGATCGCCTACTGACAACATGGAAGCTGATGACATCTTGACCAGGCCCTGCAATCCATTCACCGGCCTTGGGCGACCCGGACCCGTTCGACACACGTGTCGTCCGCGGGGCGTAATGCGCTGCGCGTGCGCCTGCCACGTGGCGCCTCTCGTGCCACGGTGCCCAAGGTCTTCCATGGTCCCACGCAAAAACACCTGCTGCAGGCGGGTGACGCTGAAGGCACACAAACGAAGCTTGGTTTGGGTTAGCCGATGGCTGGGTGGCACGCCACGGCCGGGTGGCTCATCGACACGGAGGGCAAAGGCACCGAGCCCCAAGCAGACATGAGCCCCTCAGAGCTGGAGGGGACTGGAGGAGGCCTCGATCCTGACTGAGGACTTGCCTTAGGACTGAGCTAGGGGTCAGGGATGGTCAGGGACAATTCCGGCAAGTCCTCCAAGCAGTGCGGGGAGGACTTGCACCATCTTGCACCATGCTTTTGGGGGTTTGGACAGTGGGGGGATGTCCCTTCAAATCGGCTACTTTGGATGGTTCAAGCAATCCAGGAGAAATCTGGCCAAAGTAGCAGATGCTCCGGAGTCGCTCTGAAACTGGAGGATCTTACGTCACTGCTGCAGAGTGTGATGAGTTCGGGGCCCTTTCCCAGCAACGATTTCCGTGGCATTCATATAAACTATATGACTATATGTAAACTATATATACCATTAGTTAACATACATACATAAACTACATATTGGAAATTATTAGAACTATAAAATTGTAATTGATTGTAGTATTCATTTTCCTTCTGAAGTTCTTTGTCATTAAGTATTCTTTGCAATCCTTTCATACTATTACATAAAGGATTGATTAAGGAATTGATGGCTTTGGCAAGCTGTGAGTTTTGAAGAAGAACTTGAGAAACCTATACTTATCAGCCAACCATAGTATTAAGAATTACTATTTCTATTGTTCATCAGGAAAAAAACTTTGCACAATTGAGGACCGTTAAAACAAATTCATTATTGAGGATCACGGGCCTTCCTGGTCTACTACCTTGAAACTTTGTTTAGAATAAATCTTTACATAAAGGATTGATTAGGGAATTGATGGTTTTGGGAAGTTGTCAGTTTTGAAGAAGAACTATATATATATATAAACCTATACTTGTCAATACTCTCACCAAGCCAACCATTGGCTGAGTAGTATTAAGAATTACAATATGTATTTGTCTAAAGGACATATAATTAACCCTAAATATTTTTCAGATAATAAACAAATTAGGATCCCCAAAGCACTTAGCATAATAGAGGACCCTTAAAACAAACAGGGTGTCAATACTTATTTTTCAAACATGTAGCATTATAGAGGGCCCTATTACTAATCAGCATCCAACATTATGTATATATAAATATGAATATGTAACGGATTCTTACGTACTTGTATCCAATGACCCTCATTCAAAACGTGATGAACGTCAGCGTTGGCCGACCGGTTTATGACTTAAATGCAGATTGTTGTTTGAATGCTGGACAAAACCGACAGCTCTTGGCTGACAACCTGTGGGCCAATGGGGAAAAATCACAGCAAGCCATCCCGGACGCCACGATCGGACGCATGAACGGTCCACAGTCGACACTCCTGCGAAGATGGAAGTGGAACATGGCCCCTTGTATGATCATCTTCCTCTATAGAAACAAGTGGTTTTCCTCTTCGCTTCGATGATGATTTTAGGGAGTGTAGATCATAGATCTTCACCATGATCTTCACCCTGCTTCTCTTCCAGCTACTTGCAGATCTGCATTCTCCCACCTTAACCCCCCTCCCCCTTAAAAAAGGAACGCATCCCTTGTGGCTCGGCTGAGGAGAATCGACTCGGGCGTGCGGTCATGGTGTTTGCCGAACGGTTGGAGTGCACCAACCATCGCTGCTGATGGGGTGGTCTTCGTGGGGAACGAGGATGGCCTCTTCTTCGCGCTTCGCCACTTGGTCTTTGCTCCGATCCTTTCCGCGGTGTCCACGGAGCGCTGTCCATTCCGCGCGCGCGGGAGAATCATCGCGCTGTCGGTCCACGGAGAATCATCGCATCCTGAAGGGTGATGATCATCAAAAGGTCGATGGCAGTGGAACCCGGAGAGGTGATTTCAGCACCAATGTGACCAGTTTGTGTGCATGCACATGTCATGTTTTGTCATGTCTTGTCCATTCACGAAAGTGTGGATCGCATCAATGAGATGGGCGCATCCAAAACCTTACCCTTTGGGGTAGGAATCCAGAGTGTCAATTGATGTGAACATTGATGGTGATCACACATCATTAGTTGAAGTGACGTGATGTTGTTTGGCAAACCCATGTCTACATACTGTCTGCGCTGCAAGCCAATAACCCAGCAACACTTGATGATGTTGTGAGTTCGATGGACGTCGGTAGATATGTTTTTTTTCAAGAAAACGGTGTTGATAAGGAAGCAATGCCCATTTTACTGTCAAAGAGACTGTGTTTTCCCAGTTGAATTGTTCTCGGACAGCGTGAAGGAAAATCCACTGGTGTTCCTCTCACTCTTTTCTGCTTGATTCTATTGTTATTTTTTGATGTTATGTGCATGCACATGAAATTGTTTTCTTTCTACTTTTGTACCATGTTTTGGTCATCCAAGAGTATGCAAACGTGTGTTCGACTCTCTCTCAACATCGATGGCTCCTAGGAGATTCAGACGGAGATGGTCGAGTTCCTTGGTCTCAATGGGTGGAGCACCGTTGTTTCGGGGAAAAGACAGACATCCTGAAACAGGTGTTCATTGATGACCACTGCGGATTTGCATGGTAATGAAAACCTGAAGCCACATGGCCGGAAGCCATTGGCTCCGATGACCACTGCGGATTTGCATGGTAATGAAAACCTGAAGCCACATGGCCGGAAGCCATTGGCTCCATGGGATTTGTTTGATCCACATGGCCGACACATTCTTCCTGGCCCATGCAGATGAGTTGCACTAGCGGCTAGCGACATACCGCGACCCAGCAATTCTAATTGGGGAAAGCTCTAGCAAATACATGAGTATCATGAGTGTGTAATGAGAGAGAGAGAGCGAGAGGGAGAGGGAGAGACCCTCCAGCCATTGGATGTGGCGGGAGAGGCCTCGGAGAGGCCCTCTTGTTCAATCTTTGGGCCATTCATGATTCTTCCCAGCTGGGCAACTTGTTGCATCAGTGACTTTGGGTGGACTACTGCATACTACGAGTAAAGGGTTCTCCTTTCTCACTTCAATCCGTCTCCTGGGATTACAGTGGAAGAAAACTCTGCGACCATCATGGACATCCCTGGCAGGTAGGAGGTGACATCGTGGGTAGCTACTATGAATGTTCTCGACATGGTCTCACCCTCCCTGGAATAGTCAATCAATACCCCCTCCCTCCATGGATACTCGTCGTGGAAGTGAACAAACCACCGAATTGGTCGAGGAACATGGTCATTGACTCATTGACCAGGATTTTCCCGGTGACCAAACTTTGGAGTGACCTTTCTGGTGATCTTTTACAAGCCGGCCGTCGTGACCAAACCAGCGTCTTTTAGGGAGTCAAGTTCGGTCACCGGGAAGATCCCAAAAAAACGGGCCATGTTCCACATGATGATTCCAGGGAGTGTAGTGATGTGTAGTGATGTAGTGGTTGGGTGTCCTCTTCGACTTTTGTTGGTCGGTGAGTCTACCCATTCCTGCTAAGCTGCCCCCACCGATGTGAGCGGCGGAGTTGCGGAGCTGGCTCGAAGGAACGGGGATGACCGGTGTGAGGATGTGTGGACGGGGATATCGTTGTCGATTCCTCCATGTTTGTCCCAACACTTTTGGAGGGCTGACCCCTATGTGTCCATCATGTTCCATCCACAAGAAACCAAGATGGTTTTTCTTGGAACATAGGTCCCGAGCCCCAAGCTTTGGTGTTTGCTTTCTTGCTTCCACCGGGGCCGCGCGTTCTGGGGTCGCGAGCATCGAGGCCATTGGTGTTGACGAGGACGGCACCGGGGTCAGCCGTGTGGAGTGGAGAAGGAGCATGTCGTGGACAGCCATCCCAGCTGGAAAACCATGGTATTGCAGATTGTCAAAGTATTATTACATATACAAGAAAGATGATGTTATGCAATGTTTACACCATAATTACAGATAATATCAGATAATAGTCATATATGGGCACATGGATATACAATCATATATCAATCATAATCATGTGCACATGCACATATAAAAGCATCGTTTCATCAACGTCGTCTTCTGCACACTCCAAGCGCCGGAATGGGAGTTTACAGGTGCGCGCCTTCGACACCAAAGCGGCCTTCAGCGGTTCCAGTTCGCCCGCCCTGGCTCCACAGATGGTGGCCGTCGCCTCCTGCGTGCCATGGCTCAACAGGGAGTCTTTTGGAGTGTTTGTTGAGGTTCTGAGACCACCTTTTGATATCCCTGTTTGAGGTCACTTGGGCCTGCAAAAGGTCAGTTAGGCACTCCAACGAGGTCACTTTGAAGAAGCTGGCAGGTGCATGATTATCCGATCATCCAGTCTGGATGATCATCCAGCGGACAACCCGGACAAAATTCTCTCGAAACGACGCAGAGTGGACAGTGTCCAGGCTGACGACCTTTTCCTGTGGCACCACAGACTCTGCAGCAACCACAACGTTTTTCCTTTTTGGGCGTCAAAGGATCGAAGATCGAACATCCAGTGTCGCTGATTTGATCACCATCCAAGGGGTTGAAACCTCATGTCAACCAAAATCCCCAAGTCGTCCTTGAAGTTCGGTGGAAATCCATGGATTCCGATGGATATTCCAATGGACTCGTGTCACCTCCGTGTCACCTCCGTGTCACCGTGCCCAAGAAAAACGCGTCCGGTGTGCCTACCCGGTCCGAGGATAGCCTCTTCGTCTTTAAGAACTGAGGATGGCCGTATGTGCCCACAGTTCTGCACTTCCGCCAGCGAGGAAAAGGGCGTTAAGAAGTGAAGGGATTGGGGTCTGGCTAGAACCACAGGACTCAGATTAATTGCCTGGCTAGACTCTAGCATACTCTAGTAGTCTAAGTACATCCATCTAAGTACTAAGTTCATATATGTTTATATCATATCCTTTTCAACCCACCCACACCCAGATTAGTTCCCAGAACATCCCAGAACTAGTTGTTACATATCATCGCATATCCATCAATGTGTAGCACCCAAGTTGTTGTGTGGGTTGGCATGTTTATCGATGGCGAGCAGTCACGTATGGCATCTTAACACATGTGAATACCTAGCTCCAGAGAAGCACGCAGAGTACTTGAAACATCGTGTTTTTTGTTCATGTCATACTTCTTTGTAAGCCCTTGGTTTGGGCATCGAAGGCGGAGAAAAGTGCGACCAACAAGAGTTATTGCAGACTACAATGGATAGAATATGGCATGATGAACCAAGGACAAATGAAATCAACTATATAACAATACCTACATTTTGTTTATTTGCGCTCGTATTATGACATGATCTTGTTCAAATAGATCAGATCTTTGGATTCCTTGATTCCTTGTGATCACTAGGCATTTCCTCGGCAACAAGAAAAAAACAAGGCCCAACGATCGCGCCCAATCTACAGGTCTGGTGTGTATTTTTTACAGAGTGATACCCTGGGTCGACGTTCATCGGTGTTCCTTCCTTCAGGGAGTCGTTGCCTGGGAGGCCTCTCTATTCTAATACACACCCATTACCTGTTTGTTGGTCAATCGATCAAATACTTTGACAACGGGTCTTCCCTTCGCGCTCAGGTTGTTTTGCACCTGTTTTTTTTTCAGATGTCGTTTTGTTGCATGCAAACCAACCGTGGTGGCCGTTTTTCCATCTTAGCAGAATTCGGACCTTTGCCCGGGCTGCCCGGGCTGTTTACAGACAGTGGATGTTCATCTTCACGTATCTTGTTAACTCCTTCAGGGAGAACAGATGTCCACAGCACAAATTTCCCTGAGCTGAGTTCCAAGTGCTAATTTAGACGTAACATTGTGTTTCTCATGTTGTCACTTTGCACGAACCCGGCCACGCGAACGCGCACGCGCTCGCGCCATGGTGATTTGCGCGTGGCTCCGCAATGACCTTCGCGTGCATGACAATGTCGTCTTGCATGAGGTGAACGAGAGCAGCGCAAGTGTGTTCTGTGTTACAGGGGGCTAGGTTTGGGAACAGGTTTCATTCTTAAGTCGTTAAAGATAGGCCACTAAATAGATCTAAATAGGTCCTTTTTGGAAGGTACCTGTTGAAAAGGGTTTCCTTGGATTGGATGTTGATCGAAAGGCATCCAACTCAGTTTCCTCCACTTGAAAACCAACTCGGTCGTGAACCTTGCATGAATTGTTCAAGGAAACTTCAAGCGTTTTGCGGAGCCATATAGTCTGAAAGCATTGACAGTATCACTTTGGACACCGGCGCAAGATCCAAGGCTGACTGGTGACATCCTCCCTGAAACGGCCAGGCTGCGCGTTTGGCGGCCCAAAGGAAGGTCCCTGTCGTGCCCGTTTATGTCGGGAGCTGAGCTTCCATTGGAGCAGAGGTGACACCTGGGAATCTGAGGTCTGTGAGGAGTCCAGGGTGTTGGGCAAGACATCTCGAAACCATCTACAGATTCAATCTATAAATATATATATATATTATGTATAGGCCGGTCCACGGGTGAACCTAGGACCCGGAAAATGCCGTTGTGGATTTTGTGCTTGCTTTCTTCACCAAACTCCTTGGCCTCCAGGCCTCTTCGACCGTCCGGTCGAACCGGACCGGACCGACACCGGTTTGACCGTCAGGTCTTCGACCCTCGATACTTCCAGCGTACGCGCTACAAGACCTTGCGCACCGGCCGGGCCACCGGTGGCCAGACGGGGTGGAGACGGTTTCAACGGTGGGGGGGGCGGGTTTGGTGGAAGGAGGAATGAAGATGTTGGATGTTTGTAGGATGATGTAGGATGGTGTTTGTGTTTTCGAATCAAGCAGTATAGATATTAGTTCGATTAGTTACGCTTTGAATTTGCAGCGTATGTTCTTGCTTGGTTTAACTTGCTTTCAAAGCTGCCCCATCCTCGCTGCCCCGGAGGCAGCTTGAGGGCACTCTTCCTACTCCAATCCGTGCTCGCGCTCAAGCGACGCCTGCGGCGCCGGGGCTCCGACCTCCTCATCAAGGCGGCGCTGCGCATATCGGCCGCGCGGGGTGAAATGGACATCGCTCCTTAAGGCAACACGATGCCATGCAGGAAGACGACGGAACACGTTTAACATGCTTGCTCATTGTTGTTCTTCGTGGACCTTTACCTTTTGGAGGATCCATGATTGAATTCTGAATGACCAATATTCATTCGTTCGTGAAACCACCAACACCTATGTTGTATTTTTACAGAATTGAATTCTACTCCGCCTAGGGCTCTAACGGACTCCCACTAACGGACTCCCACAACATTAAGTTTGGATGAATATTAAATATATCAAACATGGGATGTGGGGTATCCAATGATGTGACGTCCTTGATCAATAGATTACTCAACTGCTGTATTTTTGGGCAATGGTCCTCCATGCCACCATGCCGATCTTGCAGCATGGTTGGAAAGAGGTATGGAACTTGGTGGGGAATGACCCCAACTGGGCAATGCTTCTGGGCCATCCCTGAGGTGCGTGCCCTCCTCCCAAAGATACACACGTCTTCAAGTTCTTCAACTGTGTAGTGGCAACATCAAAAACACATCTCCTTGAGTGAAATAAAGCAGTATCGCCACACAAACGTGACCAATATGTTTTGCCAGAAGACTCGAAGTGACATCACTGCCCTTCCACTTGCAAACGATTCACACCAGAAACTGCGGATTGTGGGGAAATTTGACCGATCAGTGAGTGTGCGATTTAGCCGATCTGGCAGTGTAGTGTAGGTGTAGACATGACTGATTTTTCAGACATGGGTCTGACAACTCTTAGCATACGCACAGCCTTGCTTGGATGGCAATGCTCAGACTACCTTCAACATATCAATTTTTGGAATCTCGAGGCGCAGCGCGCGTCTAACCACTGGACCGACTGGATTTATTTTTCAGGAACCGAGTCAATCCTACCTTCTTGTCATTCATCTCGGCCTTCAGCAGGTGGGGAAACCCGAGAAGGTCCTGCCACCGCTCTTGTCCTCGAACTCGGTCCTATTGACTCAGCCACTTGGCATCGAACTCGGTCCTAACCTGGTGAGTTTTGACCTGTTTTGACCTGTGTTGACCACACCGTTCACGAGTTGGACACGCGGTGTTCCAATTCTGTTTCTAAAAGGTTCAGTGCTTTGTCCAATGGATCAGAGATGACAGATGACTCTGAGGCAGGAAGTGACTTCTCCAGAATTGACGATCGACTCCTGGGTCTCTTGGGAAGCAGTAGCAACTCGTCTCGCTCGAGCTCCGTTTCGCCGGGCAGCGGCACCGATTGGGGCGGCGGCACCGGTTGACCAAGCCCAGATCCCACACCTTTGGGGGGGTCGCAGATCTGAAGTAAAGCATTGCCAGATTTTGCACGTTCGCGACTTATAGTTATATTATTATGTTATATTTATAATGTATATAAAGTTAAAGCCTAAAAAGGTAGAAGGTATCTGGTATGGCAACTGTGGAAATTGACCACAGTGTCGGTGGAGGTGTCGTTTGATCAAATGACGGGGCTCTCACTCATTCAAGGTTTGGTGTTGTTCATGTTTGTTGGAGGGTTCAGGTTGAAGGAATGACTCCACCTCCCATGGTCCAGATCGCGGATTCTTCCATCCACAGGGGTTTTTGGGACAAGTTCTCCTTGCACTTCCCAACATGGAGAATTGAGAACCTCCCAGGATCAGTTTTGGCGCCAGGATGAAGTCTCTCCCAAGTGTTTGCTAAAGCCAGTAGCTTGCAATTTAGACAGCAAGATTAGCCAGCTGAATTCTGGCGTGTCCCCAATGCAGCTCTACCACCTGCTTTGAGGTGCATCATTGACCAAAGCTGTTGGAAGGGCAGAAGGGTGATGGTGGTATGCAGGTTTGTTCTTAGCAACAGAGGTGGAAGGACCCTATAGACATATATAGACATCTATAGACTATCCCAGTTGGGTACCTCAGGTGATGGGTCGTTCAGGTCACCCCTCTTACCTTCGAAGGTCTCGTCTCCACGCGGACGCATTGGGCAGGTGCGCCTTGCCATGGAGGAAAGGCGCATTCCACAGAGTCAGTGGCGCTACTGTTGGGGCTCCACGCTTTTTCACAAGGAGACCCTGGGCCGCGACGTGCGGCCTGGAAAGGCGGACCTCACTTCAAGGGGTTGGTTGCGGCTGATCCGAGATCGAAACCTCTACGGGTGTGTGTGTCTTTGTAGTGAGACCACCTTCCAGCCCTGGCTGGGTAGACTGGTCCCTTTCCCGGAACCTTCCAGAACATCGGAACGCCTGCAAACCCGAGAACTCGTATGAACTCGTGGGGTCGTGACAACCCACAGTGAAGACTGACGTGACGACTCAGCGTGAAAAGTCTGGTCCCCTTCATCGCAGACGGTCATTCATTCATCGGCCATGGCTGACGACTGTAGACGAAGAGATGCCAGTGGTGATGGAGAAAAGACTGAATTGGACGCCGGATCCAATTCGGGGAGTCAGATTGAACTTGCCCCAAAACAGCTTGAAGTGATGATTTGGGCCAGAACTTATGTTGCAAAATGTTGCAATGTTGTTTTATATGCGAATCACTGAATGGAGGTGATTTTGAAGACACGTGAAAGAACTCATGTGGTTGTTTGTCTCAGGTGCTAATGTGATAACAACAAACTTAAAAAACAAAAACGCGTCCAGGGACATGTTCCTGATTCAACATCCAGGACGATATTGGTCTTCAACAGGGCTTTGACGATGTTCCAGAGTTGCTTGGTAGACAAAGGGGGAGGCAATGCCAGGTTTCGGTTGAGGCCACATTGCACGATCACTATACAAGTCCTTATGACAGCCATTGAAGGAGGGCATTTGGTACAACGTTGTGGGCCTGGCAATGACGATGATCACCTCATTCCATTTCGCAGTGTTTGATACTAGCTATACAATTTGTCTTCAATCAAGTACGTACTGTCAAGAGTTGTGGTGACATGAGGCTGGGACAAAACAAACTAAGCAAAACCAAACGGTTTAAACATGAAGAAGCTTGAGATTCAACAGTCGGTGCAGTTGGGCATGGCTTCCGAGACGCAAAGCCACGGACCAAATGCGATGATCCGACACCCACGGACCACGGCTGTGGCGATCCCATCGCAAGACGCTTTCGACGTGCGGGTCCTGGAGCACGTGAAGATCTTTTGGTTTGAGATGTTGTTGGATCAAGGAGGGTCACCAACATGTATATTCCCAGACGCGACCCATGTGACTGCCATATATGCCGATCAATTGACCCCTCTGGCACCACCCCTGGCCTGATCGGTCCTACGGCAGTCCCATGGGTCGCGTCTGGGTATTCAAGGAGGGTCTACCCCTGACTCCTCTGACCCCTCAAGTCAATACATGTCCCAGTCTCCAGAGGCCACCTGTGGAGCTTGGAGCCTGGAGCCTGGCGGTCCCACCTGGAGACCCTGGGTTGTTCCCACCAAGAATGAACAGAACAGACTACACTGGGAGGTCAACTGGTGAAAAGGGCTCCGGGTGCCATGACCCACAGATAGCTGTGATGGAGGGGCCCACGCCTGGATACCTGGTGGCCTGGTGGCTTTTGGACTGCCGGATGCCTGGTTTCGAGGTTCTTCTCGAAGTTTTTACATGGCCTACAGAAAGTCTGGCCGAGGAATTCCGAGGCAGGTAGGGGTTCGATGTGTTTCAGCCGAGCGAGGTTCGATTTGATGGGACAAGTGGGTCTTTGGAAAGTGGTTTCAGCCGCAGGAAGTATGGAGGTACTTGTTTCACCCTGTTTTTCAACAAGCCATTGGCTTGTGTTGGTGGATGCCAGAGAGGAAGAGAATACTGCGGATGTTTACAAGGACCCGGGTCAGTGCACAGTCCCGGGTCTCGCAGCGATGTCTCATGATTTCTCAATGTTGAGTGCTTGGAGCCCCCAAGCCATGAATCAAGATGGACCCTTCCCTCATCCTTCGGTTTCTCCATTTTAACAATTCATATTGTATCATACTGATTCATACTGGATCTATACCTACTGTGTTCTGAGCAGATGGCACAAGTTGCCAACGATGTTGCGCGACTCAGACCCGGGTGAGTTGAATCGCACAAGTGATGCTTAAAGTAAATAAGCTTGCAACCTTCATGAAACGCCTCAAATGTGTTCACGCCAACCTAACAAAGATCTCCCTTTGCACTACTGGACATATTACAAATGTTCGATTTGGATGACCACTGGCGCCAAACCACCCCAAGCATTCACCGTTTGGGCCGCCGTTCCCTCGTGCGTTTCAACAGGATTGGGACGAGACGACCCGAGACGGCAACGTCGCTGGGCTGGACGACTGGGCTGGGACGGCCAAGAACTTCAGAGACCTCAGGGATCAGGGACGTGTTTTTCTTCCAGCAACAAGACGGGAAAAAGAGATGTTGAGCTTGTTTTCAAGCCATGCTGCATGCTTGGGTTGTGCTGATTGTTCTTGTGCTTATCGATGGTTCTGAACTTTCTTTCAGACAGTGAGTATACCAATCCAGTGCGGTGGAGTGGGCTCGGCAGTCATGGCTCGCACGGAACATGAGAACCTGGTGGGGAAAGGACTGAAAGGAGCGATGAAAGCGGGGAAGGTGTACTGCAGCTGATACAATCAGAAGCACCAAACACCAAATCGTCACATCCTTTTTTCTGGTGTTCAGCCAGAAAGCTAAGTCTGAAGGACTGACGGATGACTTTCCAATCCAGTGCCCTCAGGCTTAAGTTGGCTTTCCAGCTCTCAAAGATGATTCAAAGACGCAGTACTTTTGGTCAGATGTTGATCGTCATGTTAATACCGATACCATGTTTTACCTATCAACCCCAACCACTCCTCAAATTGCATCGTAGTTACTTGCACCTCCATGGTCGCACGTTCAAAATGTGTTGCTGAGGACTCATCCTTCGACTCTTCGAAGGCTTCGGACCTGGACCCCCAAACCGCCCAGCCCCATTGAGGGGCGACGGAAACCGCCCAGGTTTGCCCTGAACTTTCGACCATCTCCAGCGCCCTGGATGGCACAAGGAAGGACGACACAGACGGCCAGTCCTGGCAGTTTTTGAGAGGGAAAAAGGGACGGATTGAAGTTGTTCTGGGCTTCTTCACGACGGTCATATAGGCGTAGTGAGAACCGAGCCGCAAGCCGCCAGAGCCGTGAGAACTGTCGATGAACATCGTGGAAGCTAGCTCCAAATGATGCTCCGTGTGGGTTTGTATTTCAATAGGGGGGACCTTCCATCCAATGGGTTTCGTCTTGATATTCCCAGAGGTCTCCAGCGGGGTCTCCCTATTCAAACACACACCGAACGTCTGGTTTTTGTGCATCGCTTTTTCAACGACTTCTTCGACTCAGCACACCTGATGGGACGGTGCTGAGTCTTACGGTGCAAAGTCTTTAATGGAAGTTGCCAGTGAGGCAACGGCCACGCCGTGGCAGATGCTGAGGCATCTCCCACATATATTTTAAGAAAGTGAACCATTTGATGGGAGAGGGAGACCACTTGTTGATGTCCCCAGAGTTCAGGAATGTGTTTGCAGTATGCTGATTGGATTTCAGCGAGCAAATGGAACAACTCATTCCATCAAGTGCACGAGAGATGGGTTTTCCGGAAAGCAACATTATCATTGTGGGTGATGTATTTTACAGAAGTAAGCGTAAGTCAAGTAAATGTTCACTGACTTGGATATAATATGTGTGTGTGGCGGCATCAGTTATAAGTTTCTCGGAGGTTACAGTTTATTCCTTTTGTTCTTGCCGGATCATCCCATGTGAGGTACAATGATAGCTAGCAACCAGGGTGAACTTGTCCGTTTCCGACAGGGCTCACCATGTTAGAGGCTATGATGCAATGTGTGAATACGTTTTTGTTTCCCGTGGAATCACTCCAACAGTCAGCAAAAGTAATCACGTAATGACATGTCGTTTTTCTTTACTTTACCACAAACCTTAACACAAACAACACAACTTGTAAATCCTTTACCTGGGGATACCTGGAGAATGCTCAAAGCATTCACTGGTAGATTCTCAATTCTTCATACCTCTAACATATAAATCTGGCACGCAAAATGGAGACGCCACCAGTCGGACTGACCCTATATGCATCGGTCGGACCGAAAACCCGAAGCTCGGAACATCCGATGGTCGCACCAACCCGCGACGTCGCCCGTCGACGTCTTCTACGACCGAGGTCTGGTGCGTCCGCCCTTGCCGAAGCTCGAGACTGGGGACCTGCGCATGACGCTGACGTTGCTCAGTAGCGAGGGCATGGACTTCGAACCTTCGTGGAAGGCGCGGCAGTAGCGAGCGCACGGGGCGCTCGGGAGGGGGACTTGGGATCCGAAGGTTTTCGGGTCAAGAGGGAACGGTTGGAATAGGGGAGTTTGTAACAGCACTGGGTTCTACAAAATAGTGTGATTTTTTTTTTTTGCTCAGGAAATCCCGTTGTTGGAGCATAGCTTGATATGGATGCCGCCTCAAGAAAATGTTGGCATTGGACTAGACCACTGGAGGATACTGGAGGACCGAGGTGGGTGTAGGCGATTGGTTCCTCTTTCGGATTCGCCGTTTAGCATGAGCCGGTTGCAAAGTGAGTGAAGTCCTTGATCACTGGACCTGGCGGGATGTTCAATTGGCTCGAGGTATTCACCCGTCCTATATTATTCCCACTCAAGCAAGAACTGAGTCGGGTGACCCAAAAAGATTGGCAGTTTAATGCACCATATATGAAATAGTGCGATTTTGTTTGGACGACCAGGCACGGTGTTTGGTGAAGGATTGTCGCAGACATTGGGGCAAATGACCAAGATTGCTTCATGATGTCCCAATATGTCCCAATTGTTTGGTCAGGCGCAGCATACCACCCCGTCACCCATTGGTCAGTTCCTTTTGAACACACCAACCTGTCAGGACCTCCCATTCCCTGAGAAGGTGGTGGAACCAGTGGTGGATGATGCACTCATGGGCGGTGAAGAGGAGGGTTTGAAGCGCCACTCGGCAGTGGATTGCCATCTTCAGGTGGGCGAAGGTGTGGAGGAAACTTTGGGATCAATACCTTTTTATTTGTCAAATAGTCAAATAGTTTCCAAGAAGGAGGCATCAAGATGCCTTTGGATTGGATTGGTGCATCCTTTGCAAGTGTAGTCACTTGTTACCCTGTTGACATGTGTTAACGTATTTCTCTCGCCACTTTCTTGCAGGGAATTTGTACAAGGGTTTGTTGGCCAGGTTATATAGAATATATATACGGGCTTGCAATTGCTTCATCTTGACTGAAAGTTCCTCCACCCAGAACCCCAGGAGTCTCTCGAATTCAGGCTTGTCAGACTACCTTTGGAAGACGGATTTTGCGTGCCTTGGTCAGAAGTGGCCTCCACCGATGCATCCACACAAGTGGCTCGATGCTTCGCCCGATGCATCCGTGTCATGGTAAGTACCTCATGGTCATCCAGACCGGACTCAGAGCGATCGAGAAAAGGTGGTTGATGGTGGGGCGGTGCATGGAGGTGAATTGGAGTGTTTAACTCAAGGAACTCACAATCAAGCATGTTTCCAATATTTTCCAATTGTTGCTCTCCTACCCAAGGAAAGATAGACCATTGAAAAAACAACTTGGGGGAATTTAAGTTCACCTTTCTTTTCCAGAGAAACGGCTCGAACGTCAGATATCCTCCGATGTTCTTCCTTGGCTTCGGAATCTGCCCAGCCAACGAATGTTCCCCAACACTTTTTGGGAAGTCCAGACCTCCAATCATGGATAGAAAAAGGACAAAGCATCGTTTTGGGTGTGTGCGTGTGCTCATTCTGGACGAATTCCGCCCCATGGCACGACCGTCCACCTCGTCCGTCCACGAGTCACGACCTCGGCCACTTGGCATGTTTGGGCTTTGAATCGACTTGCTGCATTTTTACCATGTCTTCGACAGTGTCTTCGACATTCGCTCGAGAAGAGCCCAATTCAGAAGTACCTATATATAGAGTCGACCCGTTCGTACCTCGGGTTCAATGGGTACAGTCGTACCTGTTTTTGTTGGGGGCATGTCCCTTGTTCTATAAGGTACTTGAAGTCGGGTCCAGGTAGTTTCACTTCATTCACATGAGTGTGGCTCCCGTTCATCAGAGGCTCGGTTCGGTGAATCGATCTGGTTCGGGAACAAAACAGTTTCTGTCACATGACGTCACTCACGTCCTTTTGCTTTCGTGTCATTGGTGTTCTTTGCATCATGTAGACTCTTTGTTTAGATTTCGCGTCCCATATGAAATGAAAAGGTTGTTCAATCCAAATGGGGTGTTCAACCCCCTAGAAGACCGAGGAAGGGAGAAGGTGGTAGCGCACGTCGACACAGACAGTCCGCAAGTACGTGTATCCAAATGGGGTGGGTTTATCCGAGTTCGGTTTCAGTCCATGCTGTATGAGGTCCACCTACTACCCCGAGCGCCAGTGCTTGAGCTCAGCTGTTTCCGAACAGGGAGTGTGCAGATCAGTCCAAAGAGCCATTGGGGAAGCAGACATATGACTGAATTTCAAGACCGTTATTTTTTCGCACCTGTGGCTTTCAACATTAGGACTCCTTGTATAATGTTGGTGACCATCTCGGAATTGTTCTGAGCCACCAGAGCCATGGGGCTTTGTTTGGATCGGACACGATGTCCGATTTTCCGCCATGATTTTCAAGGAGACTCCTGCTCCAAAGCTGCGGCCCAATAAGGCTTGCCACGTTAGGAACACTGGGAAGGAACAAGGCTTGTATTTTGGAACAGGTTGGTGACGAAAAAAAAAGAAACTACGTACCTTGTAGGGCCCCAAAACAGTCTGGCCAGGAGGTCCTGTCCAGGGTGTCGTTTAAACTTCCGAAGCTCTTTTGAATGCCAGGATGTGGCTTGCCGGCTCGCTGCTTGCCATGTTGGGTCTTTCAAAATGCCTCTATCTCTTCCGGCTTCCATTTGCCATTTGCCAAAATTGCCAAAACCAAGGTGCCCCTGAATTGCCAATCATTAATTTGGCTGGTGCCCCTGAATGGCCAATCGTTACTGTATAAATGTTGGCTGCCAAGGAAAAATGGTCACCTCCAATTGGGTGTCTTCCCATTGCTAAGGTTGATCTTTGGCGATTACCAAGCCTCGCGACTGGGACCTTGGCTCTCCCTCGGCAACCTCTCACCACGTAAGGTCGGGCACGTAAGGGCTGCGGATCGGCCGGCTCGAGCCATCGCGACGGATCGATCGAGTTTCCACCGAGGGCAGGCTGACAAGGAAGGTGTATAGACTAGCTGCTGTTTTTAACCTCGGGGTGGCTGTGAAACCCATGCAAACAGCCTCCCATGTCAAGGTTTGCGCAAGTGTCCAGCCTCTCAGAGCCGGCTCGAATCGATTTAAGTGGGCTAGAGGAAACGGCACAGAGCACAGCACCACCAGGGTAGACACCACAGTCCGACTCAGCGGCCAGGTGTTCCAGGAGTGCCTTCGCTTCTGTGAGCACCACGGCAACGACGACGCCGACCCGCGCACCAAGCACGCGCGGCGCTTGATCACGGAGCTCACCTGGCGCGACTTCTTCCGGTCACCGGGATGGCCACGGGTCGCCGTGGGGACGGGGGTGGAACCATGCAATGTGCGTGACCTCAATGGCGTTTGTTTTAATAGATAGTTAATTAACATTCCAGGTATTCAACCAAACAAGTGAGTGAGTGCATGAAATGATTCTCAATTGTTTCCAAGATTGCAAGATGATGCGGGAATGCCTTGAACACTCACAACCGGCTGTTCAACCATCGACGACATCAGGTGCGCCGGATATTCAACAAGGGTTTCTTGTCAGAGTCGCTGAAGGAGGTGATGTGTGACAACACCTAGCAGCTTGGGGTCACTTTGCGAGGCTCCCATGGGTCCTGCCAATTGAATGTGCGTTGGATCTGGGGATTGGTTTCAAATTACACTGTATCATCAGTTTTGTAGGTGATGATTGAGGAACAATTCCACTTCAATGCGGAATGCGGTGATATTGCTTCTTGAGACAAGGAATTGTTTTTGCAAATTAGTTGGTCTACAAATGCTGGTGAGTCACGGACGGCAGATGCTTCACCTCTTGGGGATGGTCATGATAGGTCGGCAAAACCTCTTGTCTAGACTCTAAACCAATGTAGGGGACTGGCCGCTGAACCATAGATTCCTACTGGTATACTTCGATGTCCAAAAATCCCCGCATGTCACAGACATTCACAGACCATCGTCGACTTGCGACGATTTCGTCGGGAATGAGATGGAAGTTTCCCCTGTAGATCCCTCAGGATGTTTGCCACCCAGATATTCCAGTCAGGTTCTATGCTGGGAAACACGGCACCTTGGAACGATGGAGCGTGGCAGCGTGGGGTGGCAGCGTGCATCAACGCTGGCAGCGGTCGTGGGGTTCGCCAGTTGGTGATCATTCCAGGACCTTCCAGCCAGCGGGGTCACCTGGCTGGAAGCCCCAGCCCACTACTTCGGGATCTGGACCGGTCGAACCCACTTAGAAAGCTAGGTCCCGGTCCCGGTTTCACCGACTTGAGGGACTCAGCCATCGTCCGGTCGTCCGACGTTTTCAGCAGAATTCTATGAAATTTGAGGAGCTAGAACCAAGTCAGGTTCTGATTCTATCTAGATTCTAGGTCAGGGTCCTGATGGCAATTCCGAATTTCTAGAACCAGGCTTTCATCGACGGACAGGAAAGCTAATTGGTTGGCTTTGATCGATGGGTGGAGGTCTTCTCGACGCAACCTGGCTTTGATGAACGGGTATGTGATTTCTTGAACCAGATCCTGATGCAATTGCCACTGGTGAGTCGTCTTTGTTGGTGTTCTTGTTGAGCTTGGTGACAAGGACAATACTCTCGCGGATTCTTGAGAACGTGTTTATTCGACAGTCGCCTGTATCCCCTCGAATAGGGTTCTCGAGTCTAGAGTTGTATTCGGGTCACCCACCATTGTGCGCTTTGATGTCTTGTGTCTTATGGCCGCCGGTTGCGACCCTATGTTTGATTGATCTGTTCTCTTTATATGGGAAATATGTATGTGTTGTTTTGTTTTAAAAACATAATGTTTGAATATGGTTGTTTTATTGTGTTTGCGTGTTTGTTTTTTTTAATATATTGTTGTGTTTGGTTGATGTGTGCAGAGGTGTTTCGGATGTGTGCCAGACGTGGGCTTTGTTGGTGTTTTTGTTCTGTCGTCCTTCGGCCGACCCGTTTCGCTCCAACGGCACCCGTTGTTGTTGTTTGCTGTTGGCGTTCGATGGTTTTGAGTGGCCTTAGATCCTACTATATATAATTAGTTACATGCAACCGAGAGGTTGCATGGGCAACTTCTTAGAGGGACTGTATGTTTCATCCCTGCGAGGACGTTTGATGCAGGGATGCCCTGATTTGCTGTGCTGCAGGGGTGCTACACTGATCTGCTCAATAACGAGTTTTTGCGAGTGGGCTAATCTTCTCATCTTCTAAACTTCTCATGTTGTGGGCTATCCCAATGGTTGATGTTTTGTGATGGGGATAGATCATTGCAAATAATCATCTTCAACGAGGAGTTCAAGCGATGTTCTAGTGATGTAGACTCGAGTCTTACTAAACCACCCCATATGAAGAGTTTGTTCAATTCAAACGGAAGGGGTTTATTAAAGAAATGTTTTCTATATACATTGAGAAAGGTTTATAATTAAAGAAAGGTTTGGAAAAATAACACAAGACACCGTTTGTCACTTCTATCAATTGAGAGATCTGGTGATAACTCGATACGGAGCTTAGCTTCTGGAATGCTGATTTTGGAAAGAGTTTTTAATAGTTTCTAGAGTTCTAGATTACATGTTTAAACAACTCCGTGAGAGTTTTTTCCTTGTCACCAAGTTAAACATCTATAATGCAGGCTTTGATCGACAGACATAATTTATCGTCAAACAACTGAATAAGCTGGACTTGTCCATGATCAAAGCTAAGACAAGTTCTTTGGATTTCAATCAGCATCGATTTCTGCTGGCGGTTCCCGCCATCAAATCCAGATCGTCGCCTGCTGCACAAACTTGCGCCATGCATCTGCATCGAAGCGCCATGGATCTGGAAGTTCCGACTGGTCAGTCAAGGTCACCAGAATACGACTCCAAAGTCAGGAACAGGTCACCTTCCTCCCGACCACTTCCAATTCAAACCAACCCCCCCCTGGGCACCCGCCCTCGTGCTGCGAGCTGCACGCGCGTGCGATGTGGAGACTGAGGCAGCAGCATCTTCGAGCCAGGCGGTCCCAAGAGCTACAGGAGACCGGGAGAGCTCGTGGACCGCTGCATTCGTTCGTTCGGGTTCAGACGGGGTGGGTGAGGAAAGGGTCAAACCGTGCTTTTTGTGACCGGGTCAGGTGCATGGTGAAGAAGTAGATGCTTTAAACAAAAATATGGATGGCAAAATGGAAGATGATAGTAGGACTGAGCAGATCTGCCAGGGGTGTTTAAGCTGCCCTCAAGAGTGCTGGAACCAGCACCCAGCAAACCCTCCTTGAAAGAAGACCACTGAAACATGTTGTTCATGGCATTGAAGCCAAGGGCCGTAAGAGAAAATCAAGACTATAGGATTTAGTCCTACTGGATCCCACTGGTAACAACTTGATGGAACGCATCAGAGAATGCTCAATTTTTTGTTCACCTTTTTAATGTATATAATTGTTTGTAGGCATGAACTTGCTTCCACTTCAAGTCATCCGCCATGTTTCACGCTAAAGACAAGGCTCAGATGGAGCTCATCCCCGCTTCAAACCGCTTTAAACCGCTTTCACGGACCAGTCTGATCGATGTCCCGACCACGGACGCAGCTTTGTGGCCGAACACGGCGCCGAACACGGCGCCAAACACGGCGCCGCGGGGCCCGTACCCGCCATACGGGCCTCGCGGTCCAGGAAGGACTGGATGCAGGATGAGAGGATCTTCCAGCTTTGGTCCAACGGACGCACAGGTGGGGCGTCGGCTCTGGTTGTTGGTGAATCGTTGGGCATGGGCGCCCCATGGCGCATGGTATGGCATTGGCTGGAGGTGTGAGGATCAGATTTGTGCATTACAATTCTTGGCTGTCCTCAGTCGAACTTTTAGACCTTTTGGCCGTGATTCGGTGATTTCTTAACCAAAGGACCTATATAAGTACCTGTATATTATAGAGGTTAAACCCTTACCAAAGGACCCATGGACAGCCAAGAGCTTCCTTTTGTTTTGGGGCGAGTTTTCATCACCATGCCCTACTACTTGATTTCAGGTAAACAACGGTTCACTGTGCTTTTCATTCAGTTGCGGGTCGTTCCGGGTATGGCCAAACGGCCATTGGTTTGGGCGCATTGCGAGCTGGAAGATACACAATGAAAGACTCTTACTTGAAGTTTGTAATTCGGGAGACGGGAGACTTGATCTCTTTGCTCCTTGATATCTTTTCAATCTATATACATAAATCTATGAGAGCGTGTATTTGGTTCTTGAGATCTACTTTAGTTCTTATCTAATCTGGTTTGATATTTTGTTCGTGTTTCGGTCAGTCTATGCTAGAGCCTCTAAGGGAAGGTTGGCCCTTCACTTCGTTCAACCCCACTGTCCTGGGTGAAGACACAGATTGGTGAGGGTCATACTGCATACCCGAGGTGTTTGCATGTATGCCCCGAGAGACAACAACTATCAAAGAATATCAAAGACTTTACGATTGCAGTCTATAAGTTCCAGGTATGTGACGGTATGTTGTGATTTGGAAGATCTAGACCTCCACATATTAGAAGAACATAGAAGAACAATGCATCAAAGCACTGTTGCTGGAATAAACCACGCTTTAGCAAATCCTACTACCAACTGTTGATGCTGCTGGGGCCATCTTTGTTAGCTGCTGCAGGTAGTTCAATTGTTACACAACAGAACTCGTTCTTCGCCTCGTCTGAGCTCTGCACCTATTGGATTCCTTTGGCCTCAGGCTATCCATTGGTGGATGCCTGTATGCGTGAGCTTTCGATCACGGGGTACACCTCCAACCATGCGCGGATGAATGCTGCTTCATTCCTTGCTTGCAGCATGAGTTTCGACTGGAGGCCGCTGTTCTGAAATACGTGTGCAGGATGTCAAGAAGAACTACTATCAAATCAGGGTTCTGGGGTTCAGGGTTCTTTTCTGGGTTCTTCAAAAACAAACAGCCATCGCAAGAGCTGTTCCATGGAAGACTTCCAACCCCCTTGAGCCTTGAGCCCCAACTTCAGTGTTGTCGCACGAAGTTTGGTCTTGATAGGTCACCCCATTGCTGAATTGATACAACTCCATTCCCCGTGTTGGAGGCGTGGCGCAAATTGGTTTGAGAGCCACCTCATTGACTATGCGCCCGGGCCAGCAATGATTTTTTTGTTATTTTACCTGAATGATAGCCTTTGCAAACAGCTCTTGAGGTCTCCAGAGATCTTTGATCAGACTAACGGTACAGGTCATCTCGTGACAGTAATTTCCTCTCATGAGTGAAGATGTGCCAGGAAATTGTTTGGAGCCCACTAGATTTGCATATTTTATGTACAAGCTGCAACTCGGATGTTTGCCGCGATACTAGAAGCCTTTAGAAGAGGTACGCTTATTCTGAGGTCTTCAAAGCTGGCGTCAGAATTGAAACGTTTGTCACCTCCAAGCAAGATCAATATTCCCCAAAACCAGTTCCACACACACACACAGCTCATCAATCAAACACTCAACTCAATAATTCTGATATCCATCCAACAAAACATATTCATGTTTGCTGCTGGCCAGCGCGTGCAACACTTCAAAGCCACCCAACTGGGGAATGCCCAAAGGACGTCACCTCCAACTGGTGCAACTGGGTCCGCTGCGCTGGGCTCACTGAGAGCCGCCTGAGCTCCTTCAACGTGGCCACTGAGCTGAACCGCTTTGGGACTCGCCGTTTTGCCAAACCGAACCGAACCGCGCGCACCTGCGCGGGTTGAGCTGACGAGAGGTTACGAGAAAGTCTCAGAGAGCCGACGACGTGGATCCTTTCTAAGGGTTAGCCGCTAGCCTAGCCTAGCTAGCTGTCTTAGGAGAGAGCTGAAGACATTTTCCAGTGATTCCTAAGGGGTTCCGAAAGACTAATTAGCCTTGCTAGCTTTTTGGAGATGCTGAAGGTCCCCACACGGGGTGTGACAAAGAGGTCACTGATCCCTAAATCCACCCAGATCGAACGCAATGCAAAGGAAACAAGCCTCAGTCTCCAAAAAGGTCACCATAAACCACGCGTGAGCGACTCTTTATTTAAACGGCGCCCTCAACAAGTCAACACGTCAGCAACGTCAAGTCTGCACCGGCCGGATGTGGCTCAAACCGCCCGCCGCACGACATGGTGTTGCGTTGGAGCCTGCTGTGAACCGCCTGGGTGGTCAAGAGGACAGGATCCCCGAGTAATTTGTAGGCCGTATATGGCCCATCCCCATGAAAGTTCAAACACAGAGACCCGTTGTTTTGACACCAACATCCGTTCTCACAGCCACTCTATCATGCAATTATCAGCTGTAGTCACTCCGAGCATTTCAAAGACTCACCAGCCAGCTCACCAACCAATCCCCGGTGCCGTGGCTTGGGGAGTCAGCCCCGCCAACATGTGGCCCCGCGCACAGCTCGCGAGGTGCGACAGAGTCAGAAGTTCGACCCCATGGGCCTCTACTTGCGCCGCTGGCTCCCCGAGCTTCAGGAAGTGCCACCTGAGCTGATCCATGAGCCGTGCCTCATCAGCGATCAATTCAGGGGATGGGAGGAGGCCTCCAGGCCTGAAAAAGTAATCGGATTTGATGCTTGCCTTGGGACCCATACCAAGTGCACGGTTTCTGAGGAGTTGAATCCTGTCCTTTTCGGATTTGAGCACCGTCCCCTGCCGGAAAGCCACCCCCCACCTTCTTCAAAGCAGCTTCCCTCATTCGGAATTCACATGAATTCACTCAGCCACCCGACATCGGCGTGACTCGTACTGGTGCTTATCAATTCATACATCAGGTGGCTGATGACCAGCGAAGAGCTTGTGCGCTATGGGGCCAGTGCCTACCCACAGCCCTGTGTGGATCCCAGCTTCTTCGAGGGCCCCTATGGACCCCGCACTGGCTGGGCTTCTTGGCGTGATCTGGGCGGTGGGACGTGTGACACGAGTCACAGCTCTTATCGATGATCAGATCAAGAAAGAGATGTGTGATCGATGTCCCAAACTTAAACTTGTTGGACAAAGTTGATTAACGATCATAAACAATCATAACTATAATATTGTTTCACATTGTTTCACTGGTCTCCTTTGATAGAAGGAAGGTCCAAGAAGGAAACCCAAGAAGAACCACCTTTTGATTTTGATATATGGTCCTTCGTTTCGTAGGTTAAAACGAGGTTGATCTATGTTTTCATTGCAGTGTTCTGGCTTAAGTGTATGAGTAGAAAGCTGGCACACGACTTTTCAAGCTGCGAGTGCCGGTGCTGCGCCATCTTGGCCCGCCTGTCGAGTTTTCTGCTCAACGCAGGAACTCGGGAGGAGGTCCGGGTGGCTGCGGTACCGCTCCTGGAGGCCACCTACACTCGGCTGCTCGAGCGCGCACTGAGCGTGCAGGCGGCCGGACTTGGACCTCCTCCTGGTGCAGCGGGTGAGTCGGGAGCACGAGGATCGGGGGAAGGAACCCCTGGGGCTGCGGAGGCAGGAGCCTCTGGGAAATCGGGGGACACATCTCCTGGAAAGTCGGGAGCGGCGGCTCCTGGTACAACCGGGGGTGAAGAGGCCCCTCCGCCTGGAGAAGAAGAGGGCGGTGGACGCAGCAGAGGCCGGGGCTTGCCACCCCTAGCCCGACTGCGGAAGCGAGATCGACGAGACGAAGGTGAACAGGCCGTCGAGACTGAGGTCAAGGAGGAGCAGACAGTTGACAAGAGTGGACCCCTCGTGGACGTCAAGGAGAAGCGATCCGACAAGAAGAAGGAGAAGGAGAGAAGCCATAAGTCCAGAGCATCGAAGGAAGGTCGTGAAGAGGAACCTCAAAGGAGGAGATCAAGGGAGAGGAACCGGTCGCGGAGATCGAGAAGCAGGTCACGAAGAAGAGACAGGAGAAGGAGGGAGAAGACGCCGCCCAGGAGCCCTTCGGTTGGCGCAGAACCACTACCAGAAGGTGGAGAGAGTGAGGCAGGAGAGCCTGAGCAGGACAAGGAGATCCCCGAGGAGGAAGCAGAGGAGAGGCCGAGAGATCGACCCAAGCCCAGGGAGCCTGAGGGGCCACCTCCTGGGTACGAGAGGAGTCACTGGGGTGGACACGCCTGGGGTGACAGGAGCAAGCCGAAGAAGAAGAAGTCCAAGGGCAAGAAGCACGTGCTCAGGAATCAGGACTATTGGCGCAGTTGGAGGGAGCGACAGAGAGGAGCGAGGATATGGCGCCCAAGAGGAGGCCAGCGGCCGAGGCGGGGCGGCCGAGGGTCGTGAGAAGACGGCCTGCCGCCCTGGATGGAGAGGTCGAGGATCAGTGGGTGCCCGCGGACGAGGTCACGTTGGCACAGATGGAAGGTTGGGCACAGATGCGTGTACAGGGAGAATATTGGGAGGAGGCCGTCGACTGCACCGTGGAGATGATCGAACTGAGGGCCAGCAGGGGAGACAGGGAGCTCCTAGGCAAGGCAGTGGGCACTTCAAGCGAGGCCCTTCTCCGCTACATCAGCGGGGTGCCGGAAAAAACAGTGCGACTTCATCTATGCGGACGAAGGTGCGACAGGAAGACTTGGGAGGACGGGCTGATCCATGTGACCCAGCTCAAGCAACATCGCGCCGGAGAAGTATCTTGGGAGAAGAATTTAGAGAGCAGTCGAGCGGAGGCAGAGAGAGACGAGTTAGAGCGCGTTCGACTAGAAGCTGCAGCCCGTGGGAAAGGAAGAGGGCTACCGGCCGGCCCGAAAGCCGCTGCAGAGAAGGTCGACGCCCCTGGAGTGTCGGGGGAATCCGAGGAGCAGAAGAAAAAGAAGAAGAAGAAGAAAAAGACAAAGCTGAGGATGGAGCCAGTGAAGGACCATACCACGCTCTTCAAGAACACAGGCATGGACGCGGACCCCGTGAAGCGGAAGAGATTCAGGCGCCGCGCCAAGAAGCTGACCAAGAAGTCCCGGAACAAGGACAGTGCATCGACCGGGAGTTCAGAGAGTTCGGACTCCTCGAGCAAGGTCAGCGAAGGCGAGGACTATTTCGGGGAGCTGTTCACACCTCAGACAAGCACCCAGAGAATGTGGGAAAGACTGCCAGGTGTATTGACTGCCCAGTTGCTACAAGATGCTCAACGCAGCATGCTATTGCAGATGGGAAGTATGGCCTCGACTTCAGGACAGTTGCAACCGCTGACGTCTCAATACGTGAGGCAACAGATGGGAGCATCCATGTCGCCGGTGATCTATCGAGAAGCCATCCATTGGGCTGCAACCCTGGACCTGATGGTTCAGGGGAAAGTGGCATCGGCCTGCGACGTGATGTCGCAAAGGCTGAAATCACTGGAAGCGTTGGCAAAGGGCATGAAGGTCGACTTGATAAAGCAATTGGAGTTGATCCAGGTGGAGAACTATGGACTGGCCAGTTCAAGCGAGCTCCACCAAGCAGGCAGGACAGCCCACGAGGAGAACAAGATCTATGGCAAGGCCACCGGAAGGTTTCCCGAATACAGGGATCGCTTCAGAGACAAGGGCAAAGCGAAAGGCGAGAAAGGGGAGAGCAAGGACAAGGATCGCGACAAGGAGAAAGGAAAGAAGGACAAAGGAGACGGCAAGAAGAAGCATTAGAGGAGGTGCACACGGGAGCAGGTCAAGCTCCTGGTACAGGGCTTTTGCCTCCTGGTGGCAGGGAGGTGAACGCCGTCGAATTTACAGTACTTGGGACGGGAGCGGAAAAGCGAGACGCTAAAGCTCCTGGCTTGAGCATGCACGACATCATCAAGAAGTCAGCCAGCGTTCTACGACAGGACAGCTCTATGACAATGCGCTCCAACAAGGAGAACCCTCTGGATCGGCGAAATCCCCTGTTCCCACTGCAGACGGTGAGAATGGTGGAGCTTGAGGAAGAGGGTGCTCCGCGCCGGCTGACAGAGGAGGCAGCTCGAGGGGCCCTCATTGCTCTCAATCATTTGGCTGGATTCGGGACGTCAGGGCCTGTTGCTATCTCCTCGAGTTCTTCTACTTCTTCGGCTCACGAAGATGAGCTTGGAGTTCGTTCGAAAGCGGAAAAAAGTGTTTCACGTCTTGTGCAGCGCAATCACATGTGGGGAGTGTCGCAGGAGGAGATCGATTTCGATTCGTTTTTCAAGGGGCGTGGGGTGAGTTACCAGGGTGACGAAATCAAGATGGCCCAGAAACTTTCATGGGAAGCCGTCAAACAATCGTTGCCTGCAGAAACCGGTTCGTTGCCTTTAGCCACGTTTTGTAGGTTAGGCACACTTGCATACATACAGGATTTTGAGACATACATGGTTCCGGACGAGGCTCGAGTGTATACCACCCCCCCCAGGGTGATGATACAGGAAGGACAGTGGGAGAGCCTGGCAGCAGGACTCCTTGAGCGGGGGATTGCTGAGGCCAAGCCCCTGGACCAGATTTATCATCTCAGGGGAAAACCCGTCCTGAACGGACTATTTGCAGTTGGCAAAGGGGAGTACGTGCTGAACGGCATCGAAACTCAACGTTTGATCATGAATTTAACACCAGTGAATGCCCTCTGCCGACCATTGGCAGGGGACGTGGGCACGCTCCCGTCCGTCTCAGGCCTGAATGGCTATTTGCTAGAAGATGGGGAAGTAGTCCTCCTCTCCAGCGAGGACATCCGGTGTTTCTTTTACCTGTTCGCTGTGCCTGAAGGGTGGAAACAGTACATGGGGTTCAATCGCACGTTACCTGAGACCCTGGTTCCTGAGAAATGGCGGGGTCAGACTTGTGCGCTAGTGTCTAGGGTTTTACCCATGGGGTTCATAAACTCTGTGTCAATCGCACAACATGTCCATAGGAACGTAGTGAGGCTTGGTGCCCAACAGTGTAGGCCGGTGATCGGTGGTGAAGGTGAGCTCCGTAAGGATAAGGGACTTCCCAACTCCGACCAGCTGTATCGTACTTATTTGGACAACTTCGACTGTTTGGAACGAGTACAGGCTGAGCTGGCAGACACCATCAAAGGCACGGTGGCGACCCAGGTGGAGGGCCTCAGGCTGGCCTATGAGACTTTGGGGCTGCCACGCCACCCGAAGAAAGCGGTGCAGCGTGCAGGGCTCGGGGAGATGCAAGGTGCACTCCTTGATGGAGAGCGAGGCTTTGCGATGGCCAAGCCGATCAAGGTCATCCAATATTGCAAGCTGGGCTTTGAGCTATTGAGACGGGGCGAATCGACCCTGAGGGAGCTACAAGTGGTGTGCGGCGGCTTTGTATACCTCTGTATGTTCCGACGGGCCCTGCTATGTTCGTTGAACGCGGTGTTTGAGCACATGAAGGCTTTTGAGAGCGAGGCCCCAGTTGTCAGGTTGGCCCTTCCCTACCAGGTCAAGGTAGAGATTGCCCGTTTCATACTGCTTTCGCCACTGGCTCAGATGGAGTTCCGTGCAAAGGTTGATGGTGAGGTCACGTGCTCGGACGCCTCTTCGTTCGGAGGAGGACTCTGTGCTTCTAAAGGACTTAGTCAGTTTGGCCATGCTGCACTGAATGCCAGCAGTAGGGGTGACCTTCCGGAGGAGCATGACATTGTCCAGGTTCTCAGCGTGGGACTTTTCGATGGGATCGGGGCTCTTCGTGTTGCGTGCGATGTGCTTGGTTTGCCCATGGCAGGGCATGTCAGCATTGAGCAGAACCCACACTGCCATAGAGTGGTTGAGAGCTTCTTTCCTGAGTGTGATTTTTTCCCCGATGTCTCCACTTTTGGTGAAGAGGAAATTCTCCAACTGTCTTTGAAGTACAGCAACGTAGGTCTGATCATCATAGGAGCTGGACCACCCTGTCAAGGTGTTTCAGGACTCAACTCTGATAGACAAGGGGCCTTGAAAGATGCTCGAAGCTGTTTGTTCCAGGAGATCCCACGCATTACATCAGGCTTCAAACAGCTGTTCCATTGGGCCCAGGTTCACGAATTAGTTGAGAACGTGGCCTCCATGTCCGAAACTGATCGAGGCCACATGAGCGCCAAATTTGAGCGTGCACCATATCGAATTGACTCGAGGGGCATTTCCTTGTGTTCTAGGCCTCGTCTATACTGGGTGACGTGGGAGCTTCATGACGTGCCTGGGGCTGTTGTCACTCATCCCGAGGGAGACTCCTGGAGTGCTTGCGGGAAGGTGGAGCTCAGGGGTGACATTGACAGTAAGGCCTTTTTGCACCCGGGTTGGAGCCTAGTAGAAGGTGGCTATTTCCCCACGTTCACCACGTCAAGACCTCGTGCCGGCCCAGGACGTCGCCCAGCAGGGCTGGACGGATGCCAAGACCACGAAAAGGCACGTTGGGAGGCAGATGAGTTCAGGTTCCCACCTTACCAATATAAAGATGCCAACGGACTTTGGAGCAAAAAAGGTGAATGGAGACGTCCTGACTCTGCTGAACGCGAAGCATGTATGGGTTTCCCCGTAGGGTATACTAGGAACTGCCTTCCTAAGAGCCAACAACAGGGAGCCAAACATGAAGACATGCGCCTCACCATGCTAGGTAATTCGTGGCACGTAGGTGTAATCGCGTGGCTCCTGCAGCAGTTGACAGAGCCTCTCGGCCTATGTAAAGTGAGCCAGCTTGACCAGCTGCTGATGGACCTCACTCCAGGACGGGCATCCGAGTTCTCAACCATGTTAATTCGTCCCCCACTGCACGGAAGACAAGAGCTTGTCAAAGAGGCCAACACGGTACAGCTGGTCAAAAAGCTCATAGGTTTGACGTCCATGAAGGGAGAGGATCTGATGGTTCACAGTAGTAGTGATCCTGCTCCTCGGCATTTTCGCCTTCGCGCAAGCGTGCCCGGTCGTATGTGGAAGTGGCGCGAAATCTGTGGCTGGCGCTGGATGCATTCAGGCGAACACATTAATGGTTTAGAGCTCCGTGCAATCCTGACCAGTGTCAAGTGGAAGATCTGGAGGTGCAAGCGTGTAGGGGTGAGGTTTTTGCACCTTACCGACAGTCTCGTGTGCCTTCATGCTCTCACTAGAGGTAGAAGCTCTAGTCGCCGGTTGAGACCCATCATTATGCAACTCAATTCCTATCTACTTGCTGCGGACCTGCACCCCCTCTGGGGGTACATACACACATCCCTCAACCCTGCGGACCGCCCCAGTCGGCGGCCGCTGCGCAAGAAATGGCTAAAGTAAGAGCACGTGTGTTAGAGGGTCGTAGTAAGGAAGATAGGAAGCAGCAGCGCAAGGCCTTGGGGCCGTTGAAGGGTCTTACTGTGTCCAGTAAAACAAATGCAAGGTACAAGAACGCAAGGGAACGTTTCTATGATTTTCTTCATAAGAACCAGCTAGAGATCCCCACAAGGCGCGACCAGTTTGATGCAATAGTGTCCGAATATGTTGAGTTTCTGTGGTCAGAAGGCGAGGGCCGCGGGCTCGCTGCCGACACCATTGCAGGGTTACAGGACCTGGATCCGAAACTTAAGGGGCATTTTCAACAGACTTGGAGATTGATGAAAACATGGAATACTCAGGAAATTCCCAACAGGGCTCCGCCCCTACCTGAGCAAGCCATCTTGGCCATGGCTGGCTGGGGATTTTTCCATGGGCATTTTAATTTTTCAGTTTCCATCCTGCTCTGTTTTTATGCCATGCTGAGGACAGGTGAAGTGTTGGGCATTCGAAACTCGGATATTAGCATGAACTCTGCTACCTCTCCTGCAGTGATTAGTTTAGGTCTAACCAAAGGTGGTAAGAGGACCGGTGCTGCTGAGTCGGTGACCTTGACTGCGGCTGTCGCTTTAAAGTGGTTGTGGCAATGGAAAGGCCGGAACGGCCCTAAAGCGTCACTCTGCCCGTCGGCCTCCACCTGGAGGACAATGTTCAAGACTTGTTTGGCCGACCTCAAGCTCACCCTCTTTGAATTCAGACCTTACTCACTTAGGAGAGGGGGCTCGACCTTTTGGTTTTCCAAGCACGGGAGTCTAGATAGGCTCCTGGTGGCTGGCCGTTGGCAAGCCGCACGCACGGCCCGGATATACATAAACGAAGGCCTGTCCGTTTTAGCAGAGTTACACTTGCCCCATAAGTCCCTCCTCCCGTTTACGCGCGTGTTTCACTCTCAATCCACACCCCCAGAACCCTTGAGCGCGCGCACGAGGCGCAGAAAAGGGGGACGTGGAAAGGGTGGAGGGCAGGTCTAACTTCCCGTTTTTGTTGAAGTAGC